ATCCGCCATTTCCATTGATCCTCAACCCATTCCCCAAAGTTTTTAATATTTCCATTTTTGCCAAATCAAACATTCTAAGGAAGTTTTCTTGACAAATTACCCCGCTAATCCATTGCTCATTGCAAAAATTAATCTTTTTCTCATTCCCAACCAAAAAACCCATACCACATTTTCCATGCCATCCTCTAGGTACAGGGGTTCTGAAATATTTTTACAAATGCTCAATGTCATCCTCTTATTCTCGTTAATGGGTAGCAAACATTCATTACCAACTCCCATTTTCTCATCAACTATTCTTCTCCGTAAACTCTCCAGCTCCCAAACCTCCAAATCCATTTGTTTAAAAATGTTTGATTCTTGAGATATAAATCAATAACTTCAAGAACCTTTTATCTTTGTATAAACAAACGGAGTTCCAATTAACATGATAGATTTCCTCATCTTCTGTCTTCCCCCAAAGAAATTGCCTTTGAATTCTATCTAATTTTTTTTTCACCCCCATCGAAATTTGAAAGATTGACATAAAAAAATTGAGAGACTTACAAACATTGACTTCAAAAGTGTTGCCTTCTTACCCGTGGATAAGGACCTCACTTTCCACCTTGCAAGTCTTGCTTCAAATTTTTAAACAACTAGCTGCCACAATTTAATTGAATTGACCAAACCTCTTAAAGGCAACCACAAATATGCAATTGGGAGACTTTCCATTTTACATGCTATTCTTTCAGCCTATTTCTCAATTATATGTTGTTTCATTCCAATTCCAATCAACGAGTTCTTTTAAAAATTTATCTTAAGCCCCTACATAGCCTAAAAGCATATCAAAATCCTTTTAATATTTAATAAAAAATAAAACTAAGGCTTACAGAGAATCATTGTATCATCGGCATATTATAAATGTGTAATGAAGAGTCTTCTTCTACCTATCTCAACTCCCTCAATCATCCATTCACTTGTTGCCTTGTGCATCAACAAATTAAAGACTTTGACAACCAATTTAAAAAGGAATGGTGCTAGTGAACAACCTCGTCAAAACCCCTTCTCATCCAAAATTGTTAAGTGGGTGTCCCATTAACTAGAACCAAAATAAACATTGTGGATATACATGACATAATACAAGCTCTCCATTTAGTCTTGAAACTCATGTTCCTTATCACTAGACTTGTTAAAATGGGCTTAGCCCAATAGCTCATTTTCTATTAAATATGATGAAAGCTGAACTTGAAAATTTAAGTTCATATTAGAATCGAACCTAAATGGGTCAACCCATCAAATCGGTGGGCTGAGGTGGGTTAAGGCGGGCTAGCCCTATGGGTCAGAAAAAAATAATTTTAATTAATTTAATAATTTTATATATTTAACTATGTAAATTAATAATTTAGTTATCAACGGTATTGCTTATTTTATATATTTCAATGTTTTTAATTTTTACTTGTCAAATTAAAAATTTTAATTTAGATTAAAACTTATTATCTTTTTTTCTTTTATGGTAATAAATATTAGATGATAAATTAATAATGATTCAGACCTTGAGATATCATTACTGTCTAAACAAGATTTAAATGTTTTGCATGAGAATGAGGATTGAGGAGGATATAAAAAAGTATTGAAATTTTTATTATGTGGTTATATACTTACGTTTATAGGATATTAGTGTGTGTTAAAGATTTAAACTTTATTATGTAATTTATTTTTTTATATTTGGTGTAATTTATTTATTTGTAACATGTTTTTATTATTCAATTTATGAATTAAATTATAGAACAATTTTATTAATAGAAAATTTATCAAGTAGTATTATAAAAATGAGGGTTTTTTTTAAAAAAAAAAATGGACTGAGCCGGACCAGCCCATATTGACAGCTCCACTTATCACCAACTCAAAGAACTCTCAATCTATGCTATCATAAGCCTTTTTAAAATCCGACATTAATATAATATCTTATTGGACATCTGCAATAGAAAAAAAATCATGAAATAAAACAAAGAAAATAATTGAAAAAAGAAAGAAGATGAAGAACAAAAGTAACCAAACAAGTGATGAAAACAATAAGTCGGTAGCAAGTAGAAGGTGGCATTTGAAGGCAAAACCAAAGTGAAAGAAAAAAAAAAAACAAGGAAAAAGAGCATTAAGATTCAGCATCCAAAATCTATAAGTACCCAAAGTCATTTTTGAAGAAGTTGCATAACAAGTCACATAGGCAAAAAGACAAAGGAGTATGAAGTTTCTATCAAGGTATTGATTTTGACACCAAGATGGATAAGCTGATTACTATTCAACCCCACAAGATGCAATTGTGGCAACAAGAAAAAATGTCTAGAAAAATTTATTAGCTAAGCTTTACGTGACAAGAAGCAACCAATTTGCTAACAAAGACAATCACCATTCAAGAAATTATTGTTTGTCTTGTTATTTGAGCGTGAAAAAATTTAGCAAAAGGAACTCTTATTTTATAGAGTAAAAGAACAAAAGCCTAGTCCTAATTGACTAAGGAGTTAACTACTTGATTGGAGGATAATTTTACTCATTTAGCATGATTGAAGTTAAATTCAAAATGCAAGATTGATTCATAGAAGAATTCTAAATAGATGAGACAAAGATATCTTATGGATGAATTCTAATTTTAATGGTTGTCGAAGTAAATCATGCCAAGATTGCATGACACAAAGCTATCTCATGGATGGACTTTAATTTCAATTGAGGTCGAGACAAACAAAAAAAAATGTCGAAATGGCATGTGATAAATTGTCTCATGGATGGATTGAAATTTCAATTAATGCAGAGAAAAAAGAATGCCAAGATTGGACGAGACAAAGAATAATCTTCAAAATGAATTATAATTTCAATGTGTGCCAAGATAAAATATGCTAAGATTGTATTGTCTCATGGATGGATTGTAATTTCAATTGTTGTTGAGATTAGATGAGACAAAAGTATGCGTAAAAGGATAGCATATTTTTAGTTGGTCATGAATTCTTTTAAACATATTGGTAACATGTTCAGTGTGTATGTAACAATTTTTCTTAAGTGAAGAATGCAAGTAAATATGGCACTGAAAAAAAAAAAAATTTCAAGACTTGAGGGGGCATTTGTAGAAAGGAGAAAATTTTTTTTATCCAATTATAAGATGCAACATGTCCAAAATTGATAAATTGAAGAAAATTTTCAAAGACGAATCATGTACCGCCACGTGGACTTGAAGACATCATTAAAGATAGCTATATAATTAATTTATTGACTAAATTTTCTCAAAGACACAAAATTGGATCAATTGAAAGTCACTTTTGACTTATATATTTATATCTTGAGATAATTTAGAAATAATATCCAAAATTAGACCAATTAAAATTTGTCTATTGTTCATCCAATTTATCTATAAATAAATCTAAATAATTTAAAGATAATATGCAAATTTGACCAAATCAAAACTCAAAATTTCAAATTTGGGGCCAATCAAAAAACTATTTATAAATCATCATGATTTATTATTAATTAAATTAAAATAACTTAAAGATAAAGTCAAAGAGACTAAAAATGGAAGTCATTTGACAAATATAGTGTTTCTCCAACACATTTGACACAATTCAAAAAAATTAAGAATGCGAATATTTTTTAAAACTCAAAACTTGTCCAAAGTCTCAAGTCTCAAGTGAAGAACTTCTAAAGAAAACTGATACTGGTCTCAATCCATGAATCAAAGGACATTATTTAAATCAAGTCATTGATCGTTGAAGCAAATTAGAGGACATTGTTCAAGATCAAGTTGTTGACCCTTAAAGCAAAGTGTGAAAGAATTATTTAGATGACATTCTCAATTGGAAAGAATACTAGAGATCCAACTGATAAATAAAATGTCATTTGTGTACAAATTTCCAATTAAAGTTTTAACATGTAATTTGTATACATTTCTTCTTCTCATCTCTTTTCTTCAAAACTTAAATTTCCAAATAGTAGTGGCTCTCAAGAAAAACTTCACCAACAAACTCAACTCCCAAGCATGCTCGAGCAAATCTTTAAGTCTTCTCAAATTCATCATCAAGTACGGATATTCCAAGTCTTGAGGAGAATGATTCACTTTGGTTTGAACTTACTTCGATCTTGATATCTTTCATTGTAAAGTTATCAATTGATAAGGTATTCAGTAATTTTAAATACCTTATTTCGAATCTTATTAATAAGTAAGATAACCCTACAACTACTTAGTTATTTTTTAAATTTCTTACTCGAACCCTAATACTCTACCCACTACTCGTTAACTACTTTTTTCTTTTAAAAGTTCACTACTCATTAACTACTTGATTGTGCAAAAAAAATTATTAACCTCTTCATTATTAACTAATCAATCGAACTTGAACTCGTATTTATAAAAAAAAATTTATATTTCACAATTCACATTCATACATTTTCCTAATAATTACATTTATAAAAGTAAATTAATATTAAATTTTAAATTTAAACAACAAATTATTTTAAAAATATTTTAAATAACAAAAAATAAATAAATATTAGATATGAAATATCCACAAAGTGATACTTGTACCTTATCCAAACTCGAAATGAATACTAAATTTGCTACCCATAATCATCTCAAACTTAATAAAAAAACCTCATATGTATGTGAGTACCTAATTACGGTGTATTCATTATCATCTCTACACATCAATGGAAAGTTGAATTCGACTGATACCACTTGATAAAGTTAAAGTCAAATCATTTTGAAATGGGTTTCTCCCTCTTAATCTCAGCATTTATTTTAAATTTGAATATTTGATTAAGATGAAATAAAAAAAAATTGAAAACCGAAACGAGCCAGCTAAAACACAAGGTACACCAACGGGGGAAACGCAAACGGGCGTAGATGAATACATATATAACCGAAAATTATCAAATGTTTACGTCAGCAAAGCGGATAAGGATTACAGATGAGATGACCATAGGTCAACCCAAGTAAAACCGTATAATTATACGTATACTAGTATTTACTTACAAACACTGAAACACACCACTCCACGCGCTTCGCTCGTTTCTTTCTTTTTTTTTTCTCTCTGCCCTTTCTCCAAAGCGGTTTCCTTTTTCGTTCTTGTCTATCCCCCCTCTCTGTAAGAAAAACCAATAATAATAATAAAACAAAAAAAAAAAACTCTGAATTCTCTTAAGTTTTTGTTTCTTTTAATCCTTCACTAAAATTCCACGTTTTATCTCAGATTCACCGCCAATAATTATCCCCTTGGCATCTTTGTTTTTGTTTGGGTTTGGTTTGGTTTTTTTTTTTTTTTCATTTTTTTTCCTTGTCCGAACCAAAAGCAAACGGAAATTGTTGGAGGGAAGTATTTTGTCAGTTTTTACTTGATGCTTTGAAGCCAAAACAGATAAATCTTCCGGCGAGAAGCTTCGGAGAATTCGTATGTCAGTTTATTGTTTCAGATTCATAACTCGACAGTTAGGGTTTTGGGGGAACGGCGTGTTTTGAAGCGGGACGTTTTTCCTTCCAGTGGAAAAAAAAAAAGATTTTGTACGGTCATTTTCTTTAACAATTTGGAGTAAAATCTGTCAATTATCTCTACAGTGTTGTCAATTCACCTCAGAAACCATGACTCCGAAGCCCGATTGTTTCATTTTCGTTTTCTGAGAGAAATCGGGAGAGTGAAGTGTGGACTGTTACATTTGAAGAACTGAACGAGTCAGGGTTTTAGAGTGTTGATTTTTAGTGTGGTTGATAAGGTCGGCGAGATGTCGTTATTTGTAAAAATGGAAGTTGATGCATTGGAGGATGTTGCTTGTTTGGACCCAGAGCTTTTGCAGCTTCCCGAAGTGTCTCCATTTGCTCTAAAAACCAGTCCTCAACTTGTCGAGGACTTGTTCTCGCAGTGGCTTTCGCTTCCAGAGACCGGCCATCTGGTAATTTATTTATTTATCTATCAAACTTCTGTTATTATTGATTTGTTAGTATCTGTTTTATAGATTAGATTTTTTTTTTTTTAACTTTATTTGGCTGCTTACGTTTGGATATAGTGTCTAATGGTATTAATTGTTGTAATTTGAAAGTTATTCCATTTTGATGTTCACGGGAATTAATAATATGATGCCTTTGAGTGCACCATGATGTTAATCTTATGATCTGTGTAGGTTTCAATGAATGGATGGTCCAAAAGACTTGCACACCAAATAAAAATGATAAGAAAAAGTTACTAGGATTGGATGAGTGTAAAACTTGGTTATTTCTAAGAAGGGACATGTGAAACTTAAACATTAAAAAAAAGGACTCATTACTGTGTGACGGATGGGGCTTACCGTTGTTGATGATGTCACTGAGATTTAAAACAATAAAGAGAGGTACAAATGGCTGCAAGCATAGATTCATTTTAATCAAGAGCAGTCACTCTGATTCGTAGTCATAGGGTACCTTCTTTGGTGGTTTTATGCTCTTAAACGTGAGTGCATGATTTTGACTAAATGTAAATGTCATGATACGTGCTATAATGAAAAGTGAACAGATAATTCTATGATATTATTTTGGTCTAGTAATCATGGTGAAAATTGCACTTATATTATGCATGAAGATGGTTATGGAGAGAGATCCTAATCCTGGTGGTTGCATGCCGCTCTAGGGGCCCCTAGGGTGCCAAAACTAAAAGGATGAGGTCCACAGGCTCTGACCTATCTAAGATATTTGTCAATTCTGAATAATTGGTTAAGACAGACATGTCTGTTACAAGTTTTATGGTATGCTATAGACACAAGGATGTCTACATTGTTTGCCTTAGTTGGATATCTTCGGTTCAATTTTCGTTTAATTGGTGTAATGTTTGATATTTAACATCAAGTATATTTAAAGTTTGATGTGTCAATTTAATTTGTACCCCTACCCTTCCTTTATATTGAAAATTAAGAGGGGCGCAAGAGAGGGGGGGGGGGGGGGGGTGCAAAAGTGCCATTTCTTTAAATTTCCGTTCGAAATGTGACATTTTGTTTTTGTAAATGATTATTATAATTGTAAATTTTGAATATAAATGTTGAAAAAATAATAAAGAATATAAAAAAGACTATAAACAAATACAATAAAAAAATTAAGTCCATTTTTTTATTATTAATATTTTCTATTTTTTTTTTGTTATTTTATCATATGTTATTTTTATCTGTTTTTTTTTAACTTATTTTTATGTTTTTTTTAAACGCAATTACTTCATTTATTCAATTGAATAATTTCTACCTTCTTTAATTACTGAATTTGATAGAATATGGAAAAATCATAAGTTAGAAAATTTTGTGGATTTTAAATTTATTTTCTTTTGTGGTTACTAGATTTTCCACCATACTAAAGATTCATCTCAACCAATATATGTTTTGTCATGCAATGAGCTTTCATATCTCCCATTTTAATATGAGTGCAGGTCAAATCTTTGATTGATGATGCAAAGGTAGGGTCCACTGTTAATGCCTTTGCGAACCTTTCTAATGTAAATGTTGTTGGGAGCAATTCATTGCCTTCCATGTTTCCCAGTGGCAATGCACCTCCACTTTCTCCAAGAAGCTCATCTGGTTCTCCTCGCATGTCGAAGCAGAAGTCCAGCCCTTCAGCTCTTGGCTCTCCATTGAAATTAGTTAGTGAACCAATGCAAGAAGTCATTCCACAGGTTTGATTTGCTACTGAAAGGCCTCTTGTGGGCTATTTGTTATATATAATTTAAAGCTTTCTTAGATTGGAAATGTTGGTTTTACTACATTTGATTGCTGAAAAATATACTTCTGATAATTGCTTGCAGTTTTATTTCCAAAATGGTCGTCCACCAACAAAGGAATTGAAAGAACAATGTCTTTCTAAAATTAATCACCTTTTTAATAATCCTCTAAATGGATTGCAAATAGATGGTGAGATGTATATTTGATCTTTATGTCTTCATTTTATATTTTAAGTCATTTTTTCCCCTTAAAACATCCCTTTCTCCTAGTGCATAAGGGTGAAAAGATCCCCTTGAAATTCGAGAGGAATTAATCCTTTTCTCTGGTTATGCAGAGTTTAAAACAGTGACAAAGGAAGTTTGCAAGCTACCATCTTTCCTCTCTTCTGCACTTTTTAGAAAGATAGATGTAGACTGTACTGGAATAGTGACCAGGTAGAGCATCTTTGTAACTGAATTGATGTTTTATGTCTAGGAATTACCCTGATTGCTTAAACATGGGTCTGTTTAAATAAGTGCATTTATTATGCATTCTTAAGCTTATTGTTTGACTTCAGAGATGCCTTTATTAAGTATTGGGTTGATGGCCACATGCTGACGATGGATATAGCAACTCAAACATTTGAAATTCTTAGGCAGCCAGGCCGTAAGCACCTCACTCAGGTTTGTTTTGCCATCCGCCTAACTCAGGTTTTCTTTGTGTGTTCATTCAGGACAAATCATCTTGATTGGCAGTTTCTTCTGATAAAATTATCATTTTGAGAGCCTAAAGTTTTTCGCATTTTATTCATTTCTTCATAAGTTCATTTGGGACTTGGATGCAGGTTGATTTCAAGCCTGTTCTTCGAGAACTTTTGGCAACCCATCCAGGATTAGAATTCCTGAGAAGCACACCTGAGTTTCAAGATAGATATGGTAACTGAAATAACCATCAAGTAGTAAACTTGATTTCCTTTTTTCATGCCTTAATTCTTTAAAAGTGAATTAATGTGCAAAGCTACAACCATACTTGAACATGCAATCTACCAGCTAGATTGGCTGCAGAGTATCCCATGGATTGGTTCAATCTCAAGGATGATGATGTAGTTTGGCAGGAATTGTATGCAAAGTTCACAGCATATAGTTTTATCTTGTTGACTCGGACTATAATGTAATGCAATTATTCAAAGAGCCCATTGGACAAACGTTAATGAAACCAACAGGATTGTATGCATAGGGTTCTGAATGACTTAGACTGAAATTGCTAATATTATTCGAATCAAACCCTTAGCCTTGCCCAAGCAAGATTGACATGCATTTACAATATCCTGCGAGCCAATTCATGGCTTCTGATTTCAGTCTGAAGGCTGAATTTGTACCTGCAGATTTGATAATTTCTTGGGAAATTCTCACAAAAAGTGGCTTGATAGATCTTGAAGCTGCAATTTTTCACCTACTAACATTTCTCATTTGTTAATTGATATACTTTTACATTTTATCATCAAGGCATTGGCTTATGAAACTCTCAGTTTATCGATCTAAAAAAAAATGCATAAAGAATTATAATAATTTCTTTTAGAAAATGAATACTGTTTTTGTAGGATAGTTGTGTAATCCTGGCTAAGTTAACAAAGATTCTAAACATAGACATCATGGTGCTTGATTGTTAAGAATGCATTTCTGCTTGAGGAGTTTTCAGCAAATGATTTTAAAATTAAAGAAGAGAGAAAGGGTAGGGGGTGACATTTCCTCTGCATAATCAAGCTGGAAAAAGACGCTTCAAAAGGAGTTGAATGATTGTTTAAGACATTTGGGGGTTCCATGGATTGTTTCATTTATCTATTTAGTTTTTTGTTACTCCAATCACTGGACATTTAATAGTGAATAACTGATACTGGACAACATAAATTTCTGTGTTAATGTTCCAGCTGAAACTGTCATATACAGAATATTTTATCACATCAATAGATCGGGAAATGGCCATCTTACTCTCAGGGAGCTGAAACGTGGAAATCTGATTGCGGCCCTGCAACATGCAGATGAGGAAGAGGACATTAACAAAGTCCTTAGGTTAGTATCCAGGTGGACCTTTTTAGAATATATGCTGCTCTTTTTAAAGCAACTACAAACAAATTCTCACAGTCCTTTTGAAGAATAGCCAAAACATTATACTTCCTCCTTTTTTAATTACATATCTGATGCAAAATGCAAACTTGGGCTGCAGTCTCTCTCTACTGTTTTAGTTGGTCAGTAAAAGCATGGAAGTTCTTCCTTTTTTTCTTTCTGAATGGTCAGCAAACCTTTGAACATAGTGGAGAGCTTGCATTTTTGCTTCCTCTTCTAATGATGTAAATTATAAAATCTCTTTTTGCTTCATCTTCTAGGTACTTCTCATATGAACACTTTTATGTTATTTACTGTAAGTTTTGGGAGTTGGACACAGACCACGATTTCTTCATTGACAGAGAAAACCTCATCAGATTTGGCAATCATGCCCTTACCTACAGGATTGTTGATAGAATCTTTTCGCAGGTTGGTTGTTGTGGTCCTTATTTCTTTAGACTTCTGAATCAATTAATTTCCATTTTCAAGTACAATAAACCTTTTTCCTATATTGAGGTTTACTTTGGCTGAGTTAATTCATGAAAATTCCATCTCAGGCTCCACGGAAGTTTACTAGTGAGGTGGAAGGGAAGATGGGTTATGAAGACTTTGTTTACTTCATGCTCTCAGAGGAGGACAAATCATCTGAGCCTAGTCTTGAATATTGGTATCTTTTATTTGTTTCCCCTCCCTCATTTTCCAAAATAAATTACCCTACAGAGTTTTACTTATTAAACGTTGAGTTGATTCTTACATGATGCATTACTTTGGCATGCAACACTCCTTGCTATAATTGCAGAACTTAAATGTTTTAGCATTACCCTGTTTCATGCCTTATAGCTTTCTTCCCAGCTTGACTACCCTAGCTTTTCTACATATGATTGGTTATTGTTACAGGTTCAAGTGTATAGATTTGGATGGAAATGGTGTGCTCACGCCCAATGAAATGCAATTCTTCTACGAGGAGCAGCTGCATCGTATGAAATGCATGGCCCAAGAACCTGTGCTCTTTGAGGACATATTGTGTCAAATATTCGACATGATTGCACCTGAGGTTAAGACTACTTTCTTACATTTTATTTGCTTGTTACATGTGAAGTTGATTTAACTTGATATTTTGCAGAGAGAAGATTATATCACGCTACAGGACTTGAAAGGGTGCAAACTTTCAGGAAATGTTTTTAACATCCTTTTCAATCTTAACAAGTTTATGGCTTTTGAAACACGTGATCCATTCATGATTAGGCAGGTTAGTGATTGCATGATTGGATAGTGTATACTGAATTAATGCTAGTTTGGTTCTTTGGGTTGACAATAACCTGTTTGGCATTTTTTGTGTGAGCAGGAACGTGAGGATCCAACGTTGACAGAGTGGGATCGCTTTGCACATAGGGAGTATATCAGGCTTTCAATGGAAGAAGATGTTGAAGATGCCTCAAATGGGAGTGCTGAAGTTTGGGATGAGTCCCTTGAAGCCCCATTTTAAGTTTAGTGGGGCGAGTTTTATTGGCCCTTGTCAAATATATTCGAGGTGAATGAAAGCTACATGGAGATGATGCAGATGATGGTGATCTGGAGCTGCAAATTCATCAGCCACAAATATCAAGTTGGGTCGTATAGCTTTTATGCCCTCATTTCACCTGAAGGCTATTTGCAATTATGCTGTGCTGCACTCAAGTTCCACAGTGAAATCTCCAGTCAGGAAAGCTAATTGCTTCTTTAGAGAGGGAGGGATGATCCCTGTCCTTAATTAATCATCACCCAGGTATCAAATCAACAGTCTGCAACTGTGTTAAAAGTCGTTTTGTTAATTGGTTAAGACGGCCATTTGCTTTTATCCTTGCCTTTGAGCCCCGGCTGGAGAGGTGGATAGCATGCTTGCCTAGTTAACGTGTTGTGGGCCTGTTAACGGCTGGACAGAACCTGCCTCCTTGCCTACCCTTAAATGTACTGGGTTCTTTCGTAGCTTCATAGTGGGAGAAGGGAGGGGAAAAAAAACAGTAGAGAGCTGAAATTTCCACATTGCTGCAGTAAGGATACTGAAGTCCTTTATTCTTTCATTCTTCACCATGTGAAAATGGTCAGGTTTTTCTTCCACTAGCTTTCAGGACTAGAAAAAATATTTCACTTAAATTTTTATATTTCAACTTCGGATCATATGCCTTATAACCAGAGAGGGGTTGGGAAGGGTTAAAGGGTCACATTGAACAGGTCCGCAGGAAGCCACCGGTTTATTAGTAGGTTTCAAGGCACCTATCTTTTCTTAACCCAAAGTATAGAGTCGGGCAAGTTAATGATTGGGATATTATAATTCGAGTTAAATCTTTTTCATTAGTCCGACAAAAGTTAGTAAGTAATAGTCTGTGGGTATGGGACTTCGTTCAAAAGGTCAAAAAAAAAAAAACTCTGCAGGAGAGACAATTGATAAAGGAACAGTCTGATAAAAATAACGCACAAAATCAACTTGGTAGGTTTGCAAGTGGTGCATTGATGCAATCTAATAACAAAATTGGAAGGCTTAAATAGAAGAAAGCTTAGGCTGCAGTCTCCCTTTTAAGTTTCGCCATCTCCTGTCTGAGAATCCCGGCCCTCTGCGGTACAAATTTGCAGTATTCATCAGGATCAACAAATTATAAAATCAAGCAACAATTTCTGGAGTTGAAACAAAATTTTTACAATCATGATTGATGTGTATTAGCGCAATATACAAGAAGTTAACCAAGGGAGGCAAAATTTATTACAAGAGCTTATGGTATCATGTCTTGGTTCCCAAGCTTCTTTAAAACATTAAATTTCAGCCTACTATCAGTGCACTCTACAGCAAGAAAAGTGTACTAACTTAACTTCAACTTCTTTTCCATTCAAAGATTAAAGCACATGCTTTCATTCATAAAGCAGGACTGGATTAGCTACATATCTAGAGATTAAACACTTGAACAAGGATTCAGGAATGAGTGCCCTGGACACTGCATATTCTTGAAGCAGTGTTTACTATCCATGGCAGCCGTAGAATCAGCATTGTGTACTCAGATTTATGTTAATCTCACATCCATTAAGTACTAAAGTAAACACAACAAAATTCAAAGGATAGCAAAAACCAGGTAAGCATAGCATCGAAAAAGTGCAATGTAAAAAACTTGAATGATTTCGCTGACCTTAATCTTTGCCAACATGAGCTTGAACCTATCAAAGTCATTAAGGGATGCCCGTCTTTTCTGAACGATCAGCTTCCTGCCCCATGAACTCTTCTCCCACTTGTTCTTCACATCTGCACCATTATAAAGCAAGTTTCAGGCAACAAAAAAGAAAAAAGAAAAGACCACCCTTTTAAGGATTTAACACCCACCAGCTTTCTCCATTGCATCAATCAAAGTCTTCTTCTTAGGAACCCTATTGATATCAATCTTAATATCGGTGAGAGTTAGCCTTTTAAAGTTCATTTGGCTTCTTACCATATCAGGCGCATCAACAAGAGCCTACAACCACATTAAAAAAGCCATTAATACAGCTTATTTCATAACAATAATAACCATTTCAACCACACTTTTCTACCACCTAAATCTAAGCTAAATTACAGTACTAAAACCCATTAACACCCAAAATTATAAAAAAATAATAATTTGTACCCTGTTTTGATCAACGACGTCGACAATGACAACGAGCTTGCCATAGTCCTTGCTGTAGTTAACCAGAGCCACTCTTCCAATCTCTACATACCTCTTGAATGGCTACACAAACAAATTCAAAGATAAAATAATAATAGTTATTATTATTATTATTATTATTATTATATTCATATGGAAAACCATGGTATGATTTGCTCTCTTTGTAGTTTGGATGCCGAGAAAAAAACAAGAAGAGATGTATAAAAAGCAAAGGGATTTTAATTCTGTAGCAAGCTTACCATTTTGAGAGCTGTGGCGTGGAACAGAAAAGGATGAAGTGTGAGTTAGGGTTTCTGACGAACACCAGTCAAATATAAGTACCTTTGACTTTCTACTTTTCAGGGTTTTAGAGAGCCAATACGGGTTTATTGGGCTTCAGTCCATAGAAAATGATGGCGACTCTAAAACTCAATAACTAGACAGATAAGTTTATCCCTTAATCAGATGTTAATATTTTTATTTAATTTAATGATATGATAATATTTTTTAAATAATTATATTTTTTATTAATTTTTAAAAAAATTTAATTATATAAATTATAATTTTTTATTTTTAAAATTTTTTCTCTCCTATTCCAAGTAAAATTCTTTTTATTCTACCTCTCAATGACTGACAACCTTGTTACTAGATCTCGTTAAAAAGCATCATATTTTTTACGGGAGCACCAAATCTGGGCTGCGTGACTAGATCGTGTTCTCCTAAGGAGATCTAGTCGGATCTAGCATTTCATTGTCAGATCTAATTGTGGATGGACAACCGGTGTAAAGGAGGTAAAAAAAAAAATAAGAAAAATAAAAAAAGTATTTTAAACATTTTATGTTTTTTCATTAATGTTGTTTACACGTTTGAGACAGATAAGGAGTCAAGGTATTTTACCCAAATAATTTTTCTGACAAGCGATAGGGATATTAATAGATAATGTACTTGTTATTTTTTAAATATTTTAATTTAAATTTTATTATTTGATTGAATCTTATAAATATTAGATTAATATTTTGAATTACTATCCAAATACCTATCCAAATATCTTACTTGTTAAATATCCACACTCATTAATAAACCAATTAAAATAAATTAAAAATAATTTTTATGTATTAATAAAAACATAAATTAAAATTAGTCCATAAACAATTAAATTAAAATTTGAAATCATATTTAAAACAAGTAATAAATTTTAGTAAATACTATATTATTTATAAAAAAAATTACAAATAAAAAATAATATATAAAAAATTATAACATAATACTCAAATAAGCCCTTAGATTACTAAAAATATTCAAATAATCATTTTTTATTACATTTGATTAAGCTCATACTTTTATTTAAAGTCAAATAAGGCCTTATAATTAATGATTGACTAATTATATTAGAAAAAATGTCACTTATCATTTTATATCCATATGACATTTATATGATATTAATGTAGAGTGAAAAATATTACATAATCATATTATCATATCAAATTAAAATGTCACGTAATCATCAATTATGATATGTCAGCATGTCACATTATCATCAATTATAATATTTTAGCATATTACATCAGCATCACGAGATATAAAATAACAAATGATATTTTGATTAAGTCATTCATTAATCAAAAGATCTTATTTGACTAAAAAAAATTTATAAGAGTTTATTTGGTTCAAAATAAAAGTATAAGAATTTAATTAAATTTAAATTTTTATGAATAGTTTAAATTTTTTTAATATATTATATCAAAAATTAAAATTTAATATTAAAAATTTATTATTTATAATCTAATTTCAATAATGGATACTTTAAAAAACCACTATCTGTAACGACAATAACTTTACTATTTAAATTGGATTATAAAGACCACTATCGGAGCATGTGACAAATAATAATTTTATTATTCAAACCTAATTACAAGATATTTTAATTTTAATTAGTGGAGTCAGGTCTAATTACAGAGTAGTGATTGAGGTCCCAAGGCAGTGGTAAAGAAGAGTATTGATGAGAAATAGGCATGGGAAATGAAAGATAGGGTAGCGGCTAGAATTAAGGTTGGTGTCAAAATCAGACATTTGCCCCTTTTTGGGAGAAAGGAAAAGTAAAAGCATAGTTGCCAGTTGCACACCCCATGGCACACGACAACAAAAGTTTACCGTTTAAAATAAAGAAACCTTTTTTCTTGTCTTACCAATGATTCCTCTGCGTCGTTCTTCATTGCCTTGTCTCCGAGAAAAAGAATAAAAGAAAGCTTCCATGAAGGAATTATTGTAGCGTATCCAGTCCGTTCCCAGCAAAATAAAGTTGGCTCCTTGTATTTGAATTCATCACTCTACGTGTAAGTTGTATATAGCAATTAAATAAAATGTAAAGATGCAATGTTGAGCGTCTCTCTTATTTCAGAATTCAGTTTTGGTTTCCTTGTATTGGCATTTGGATCTTCTATGACAGGGGAGAGAGAGAGAGGGAGAGTTTGTTTCAAAATGGGTGGTGGGTTGTTTAGGATTTGAGGAATATTTGAATCTACAATTGATGGTGTGATGATGATTCAAAGGAGAGGTATCTGGGTTTTTAAGGGAATGAATCAATGAAAACTGATTTGACATTCAAATGAGGAAGTCATGAATTTACGGATGCCAACATGTTTTTCTTTTTTATTTTCGTGATGATCTTTTTCACCATTTCTTCCTTTCTATTTGTCACTAGCAATGACATAATGATTGTATTCACAGTTTTCTATGTATTCTGAGTATTGTTAAATGTCTTTAGTTTGATTGTGTTTAATGGGCAGTAAATGATCAGGGTCACTGATTTAAATGGTTGGTTGGGAGGCAATAGCTGGGATGTTTGGCAAAAACGCTGGAACAGAGGATTTGGAGGCCTTCTATCCCATAAGACCAGAATGCAAAGCCGACATTCCAAAGACCCGCTTTAGGCCCAGGGTGTGCATCTTTTACTTACCGCTTCTCTTACTCAAGTTGCAGTTCAATTCTGTTATACGCCTTGCTTTTTACTAGACGTATTTCATTTTATGGGTCATGCACTTCCAGTACTTATCCATTTTCTCAGGCAGGGAAAACTCTCAGTGCAAGAAGATGGCATGCTGCATTCTCTGAAGATGGTCACCTGGATATAGCAAAAGTTCTTAGACGGATCCAACGAGGGGTATGCTTCTTTCTAGTTCTATTTATAATTATGTTGCTTGACTACATTTATTTATATATGCAATTTGAACCAAAGAAAAGATACAGACTATTGGAAATTGAATTAGGATTAGTAATTTAACATAAACCCTACGTTATAGATAAGATTTTCTAACAAGTGACTCATATTCAATCTTAACTTTCTTGGAATTCTGAAATTTTGCTTAATATGAGATCACCTCTATGAGTTATGTTATGTTAGCACCCAAAAAAATCAGTACAAAATTTCTTTAAGCTTGTGAAAAACCGCAAGAGTTTATGGAGAAGTAAATCAGCTCTCAGATGAATGCAAAGTAAGTTTGATATGGATAGGGTCCAATTTAGTGAATTACTCCTGCATCATGTGTTAGCATATATGTGGGTAAATTTAGTTGTTGAACACAAAAATATAATAATGTTAAAATTTGCGATTTTAAATTTATATGTAGCTCAAACCTATGAATTATAAAGGAATAGAAATGCAATCTTATTACTCTCCCTCTTTTTGCTAAACTAATTACAGGCATTTGTCTACATGAATGCATATACATGTGTGTATGCACATGCAGTTTTGTCTCTTTTTCGTGACTGTTCTTGGACTGGTCTTTTGCTTTTTGTTATTTTGAAGTTGTTAACCATCTGTACCACCTGAGTAATAACTGATATCTACTTCTGCTGTTTACACTGGTGTGATTTCAATATACTTGTATGTTTATATCTGTTGAAAGTTAAACAACTTATATCGAATATTGAGAATTTATTATTATTAGTTTTACTTGATTTGTTATGCTAGGGTATTCATCCTTCAATCAAAGGGTTGGTCTGGGAGTTTCTGTTAGGTTGCTTTGATCCTAATAGTAGTTTTGAAGATCGAAATCAGCTTAGACAGCAAAGGAGGTAAAAACTTTACATTACAATTCAGTATGTAGAACTAGTAAATTAACTTTAGCATCTCAAGAAGTATAAATTCTTCATGATTTCAATTTGTCCTTTCTTTTTTCACTTCTAAATTTCAGTAGGACTCCAGATCTTGACTTGATTAAAGTTTCCATATCGTTTCCATATCCCTGGAACTGTTATTGGGCCTCTAAGTGTCCTAAAGTACTGAATTAACATCGTATATTTTGGTTCAAATAGATCACTATATAGATATTTAACTGGTCTTAAATTCAGTATGCAGAACTAGTAAGTTTATTCAACTGGTCTTTTTTTATCTGTTATTTTGAAGTTGTTAACCATCTCTACCACCTGAGTAGTAACTGATATCTACTTGTGTCTGTTTACATTGGTGTGGTTTGCTTATACTTGTATGTTTGTATCTGTTGAAAGTAAAACAACTTATGTCAAACATCAAGAATTTATTATACTTGTATTTTTGTATCTGTTAAACTAGTTCACTATATGAATATTTATGCCTGAGCCAGCTTGTTAAATTAGCTTCCTTTCCATTGACTATGCAGTCTCATTTTGGAGGTAATTTTGTTTATGAAGAAGCATTTAGGTATTTAGCCATGTTAAAGTACGAGTGTGTTGATTTGGTAATTTTATTGTGAACCATTTAGTGTTTTTTCATTCAATAATGCTGACCTTTTTCTTTCTCTTATCATCCATTTTTTACATTTCCTAAGTTGGACATTTTGACTCAATTTATCACACTAATCATCCCAGGGAGAGGTATGGCATGTGGAAGACTGAATGTCAGAATATGGTTCCTGTTATTGGTAGTGGAAAGTTCATTACGACACCAATCATCACTGATGATGGCCAACCAATAGAAGATGGAGGTTGGCATGTAACCAGTGCTGTTGCAGACAAGAAAGTGGCTCAGTGGATGCTTTCCTTGCACCAAATCGGTATGTATGGTGCATAATTTAATGCTCAAGTGATGGATTTTCCATGTACTTTATGTTGATTCTTTAGATACTCCTTAACCTTTTTCAGTACTTTTATTTCAGCAATAAGTTCAGTAGATATCCTTTAAGGCTTTAACTAGGCCTGCGTCATACTTGGTTGTAACCTCTTCTTTTTAGGATACCATTTTTCTGGCCTTGATACTTTTAAATTTCTACCATAGATGCTTATTGATATTTTATGTTGTAAGCTGTGTTAATCATAAGAAAACCTTTATTTAGGAAGCATGCTTGTTATAAAGGGCTCCTTTTGTGGTTTTAGATCATCTATGCATCTATCTGATAAATATTATTGTAGTTCTCTTTAAATTTCAACGGTCCTTAATTGCTTGATATATTTGGCTTGTAGGTTTGGATGTTGTTCGAACTGATCGAGCACTTACCTTTTATGAGAATGCAACTAATCAGGCAAAACTTTGGGATGTTCTTGCTATCTATTCATGGGTAGATGATGATATTGGTTATGTACAAGGTGAGTAGTAGCTTTTGATTGCATTAATTATTACCGAGTCGAAGTTTTCTTGTTCTGCAACATTTATGTCTGATTCTTTCCTGAGCAGGAATGAATGACATATGCTCTCCAATGGTAATTCTTCTTGAAAATGAAGCAGACGCATTTTGGTGTTTTGAGCGTGCAATGCGGAAACTGGTATACTTTTATTTCTTGCAGGATTGTTGATTGAATAATTGAATCAATGATACTCCATCTTTTAGTGTTTTATTTTCTTGGAATTAGTTTATATGATTTATGAATCATTATTCTGTCCATATGGCGTTTTATGATTGGTTAATTTAGTTGAAAGAGTTGATTGCTTATAGTTCATCATTTTGGATAAGGAAGGTCTTGTTTTTTTACAAAGGTTTGGATGTGGTGTGCTCTGTGCTTATGTCAGGGGTATGGTGATTAAAACAGTATGCAGCACATGCTTACTGAAACTGCTGCAGATTTTTGTTCTAGATGGTGATTGAATGTAGATAATCCATTAGTTCAGTAAAATATTAACATTATTTAAAAGGAGAAAATTTGTTTAATTTTGTGTCTTTTATTTTATTTGCTATATGGTAATACTTGTTGTATAAATACACACACACACACACACACTATTTTATGGGGGAAGATTCAGGTAAAACTTTGGCTTTCATGATTGCTTACATATAATGCTTATGGTTTATATCTACTAAAGTATAAGTCAGACTTCTGATTTTGTTTTTGTAACAGAGAGAAAACTTTAGGTGCAGTACAACTTCAATAGGAGTGCAATCCCAGCTGAGTACACTTTCACAAGTAATTAGAACTGTTGACCCTAAGCTTCATCAACACCTTGGTATGCATTCCTTTGCCCCATTATTTTTCTAAATTAGCTCTATTTACTGTTTACTCCATATTGATATAGACGTTTGTTTATTTTAAACTTTTTCTGAGAATTCACACCATTAGAGAAAGCCAGCTAACAGAATCAGTTATTAAATATTTATGTTTTAATACTAGAGAGATCAATTCTGACATGTAGGGGGCTCCCACCAAACTGTTTTTTATGCCTTTTGAACAGTGAGATTAGAAAAGCCCGACTACAGCTGGGAAACTTTGCTAGGGTCACTCTACCTAGTGGATTAACAACTCTAATGAATAACTTATTCCCTACCAAGCTAAGAAAAGAAAGAAAATTAGAACAAAAAGACAATGCTTTAGGTAGACATCAGTAGTACCCAGAACACAACACTCTGCTATTACACATGCAAATGGATTAAAGTAAACATTTTTCCGTCTGTTTTAATTTTTTTTTCTTGCCATGCTCATAATTTATAATGTTGTTTTCGTCAACTGAAATCTCATTTAATTTTGTGTGACAGAGGACCTAGATGGTGGGGAGTATTTGTTTGCATTTCGCATGCTGATGGTACTTTTCCGGAGAGAATTCTCCTTTATTGATGCATTGTATCTTTGGGAGGTGAGAGGAAAGAGCTGTATTGATTGGGGTCTCTCTTAGAAATGAGCTCTATTTTGTTAGAAAATTCAGTTTTGGCCTTTTCTTTATGTGCTAATCCTAAGACACAGATTGGTTCCAGGTGATGTGGGCAATGGAATACAACCCTAATATCTTCTCATCCTATGAGCTGCCGAGTGCAGCTTCAGATAGCAACAGTGCACAAACATTTGATCAGAAGCTGCTAAAGCAGTATGGGAAATTTGAAAGAATAAATGTGAAGAATGGACATACTGATAAAAACAGTGCACTTGCCGTTTATCTTGCTGCAAGTGTTCTCGAGTCCAAGAATAAAGTAATTTTAAAGGAGGCAAAGGGTTTGGATGATGTTGTCAAGGTACTGTACTCTCTCTCCATTTCTCTTTTGTGCACAGGATGCGGAAACAGTAACATTTCTCTGATGATGGAAGCCTTTTTCCAGATCATGGGTGATATTACTGGAAATTTGGATGCTAAGAAAGCATGCAAAGAGGCATTGAAGATCCACAACAAGTACTTGAAAAAGGTAGGCTTTGTACCAACTTTTTTCCTTTATATCAGAATATTTAGTTAGATGGATGCACTGATTCTTACATTTGCATTCGTGCATGCAGGCCAAGAAGTCATAGTTGGAGCTTATCAAACATCAATTTCTATACTTGGATTTTTTTTTTTTTAAGATTTTAATGTATTCTGGGTAATTTTTTTGTCTTTAAGTCACATTCATTTTTCCCTCTCTCTCTCTCCACCTTGTTCATATATATTAATTCATGCCATTTTTTAAAGCTGTATAAGATTTTGATGACATGAGTCTGTGGAATTATGAGCCCTCATGTTTCAATTTTATCCTTATACAAGTCAAGATTATTAAATAACAAAATTTGCAATTAATATAAAAATTTTTTATTTTATTTTTAACCTTATCGTCTATATTTATAAAAAAATCCAAGTTGTGTACGTTACAGAAATGAATTATATATATAAAAGATTAATTTTATTCAATTTAACTCTATTTAGTTATTAATATCGTAATATAGCTCTAACTGGATAATTTATATAATTATTATCTTAACATGCCTATTTTCAATGGTGACAATTACAAATAACAAATTCTTTTGCCAATGAGAAACTTGAGGGTAATGAAAAATATGAATGTAAAGCTTGTGAATTTATTTCTCAAGAAGTAGTATGATTTGGAATCAGAAATCTTGTCTAATACTCATAGAGTAACAAATAGAAACAAAATAAATAAATAAATAAATAATTAAGTTTGTTCGACTAATCAGCCCTCCTCTTGGAAAACAATAGTAACAAATTTATGAGCAAAGATGATTAGTATTATGGGAACACACTTTCTAATATTACAAATAAAATTTGATTCATGAAATGGAAAATTACCACAAGAAATTCACTTGAATTTAGGGATTAATATGTTGTATCGTACAAATTAAGCAAACATAAAATTTTTTTCTTATAAAGAAGGGATTTGAACTATGTTCTTTAAGTAATGAATAATACACTAACTAATGAGTCAAATGCTTGGGTGCAAGTAAATATAAAAAAAATTACTAATTACACAATTTGTTAAAAACCTTTCTAAATTTAGTATTTGGAAAAAGGGAAATCTCTCGTCTCATGGTACCAAAATTTTCGATAAATTTTTGGTTTAGATTGACGAGTCTTAACTACGAATGATGCACCACCATTGAATTAACGCAAGTTTTGCTTTAAACAGAATTTGGCTTGCTAATTCTTACCTTTTCTCCTCACCACAACCCTAATTGCACCTCTGTCAAAAACAATCAAATGTTTTTGATCTAATTTCCATTTTTTCCCTCTCAATTCCACTTCTTCCTCTATCCTCAGCTTCAAGGAACAAAATAAATGTTCCTATTTCTTTAAGGTTTTTTAATTTTCTCGAAAAAATAATTAACCTCCTTGATGCACTTGGTTGCATCATAAAATGTTTACTTCTCTTGGCAAGGTGGGATAAATGTTATACTGCTAGGAGAGAAATTATATGTTGGATACCAAGAAAGTTTACATGGGTTTTTATCTCTTGTTTCAGATTTGAAGCTTGACTTTATTCCACCTCCATTAGAAGCTGCTTTAGTTTAGATCAAAGCCAGAGAAGCAAACTAAGATGTCATCAAACAATAAGATGAAGGGTCTGCTCAAAGGCCTTAGATACATTTCTCAAATTTTTGGTATGTAATTTCATCCCTTAATCCTGTTTTTAAGACACAAGAGGCAGAAACTTGCACTCCTAAGGGGATCAGGACAAGCAAATCATATTTGGATGGCTGGCTTGCTAATAATGACACAAGGTCAAACTTATTTTTGCAGATAATGAAAAAGAACCTGAAATGCAGATTGGTTTCCCGACGGATGTAAAGCATGTGGCTCATATAGGATGGGATGGCCCATCTGTAAATTCTGCACCTAGCTGGGTAAATTTAACTAGTATTTCTATGATTATTCAAGCTTTCATCTTGTCTTATATTGTCACATTGATTAGAGATAACATGATAGATATGGAGTTTATATTATTGGCTGTTGTCATGTGCAGATGAATGAGTTTAAATCACCACCAGGATTTGCATCAGCACCTTTAGCCAATGAGGGAGTAGTTCGGGAGGAAGAAACTGTCAAATGGGTGTCTCAAGGTACCATATCGATATTGGTTTCCAAACTGAAGCAGAACAACTTTGTGCATCATTTCTCATTTCTGGTACGTAACTCTGTTTTGATTAGTATTGGTGTAATTGTACAGATTCAAGCAGCCGAAAAGGTTCACGGGGTCAAACTTCTTCATCAAGAGACATGCCAGAACTGCCGAAATCATCGAGGCGCAGTTCATCCACAAATGGTACAGGAGAGTCTTCAATAAAGGAAAGATCAGATAAACCTAGGCAATCAAGGAAGCCTTCCAGAAACTCTTCCAAGGATACTTCAGATACTACCAAGTCTAAAAAACCCAAGGATCCAAACCAAGCCACTGACTCAACCTCACAAGACCTCCCTGCCATCCCAAAGAAAAGCCGGCGGAAAAAGTCCAAAGACTCCTCTGTGGGCGGATCCTCCTCCAGGCGGTCTAGAACCCATGAATTGGATACTGGATCAGAGTCAGGGTCTGCATCTAATGCCCGAGAGGAACGACTTAGTAATGCTTCAGGTTTTGACGAAGGGGAAGGAATCGGACACAGTGGGGTTTCCTGAGAAAATGTTGGTGGCATTGTTTTTGGTCGGTCAACAGTGGTAGCTACTAGCTAGACTCTTTTGCCTTAGCATAAACCAAGAGAGAGTTACATTCTTTTGTTTTTTTGTTGGTTTTCTATTCATTTTTCCCCCACCTCGGGAAACCTTTTATGATAAAAAAAAAATCCGTGAACTTAATTGTTGGAATTTGGAACTGATTCAGTTTTCAATGAAGGAAAAATTTCAAAGCCTAGGTATTAGTATTGCATCATCATTCAATTATTCGGTAATTTAATTAGTCAGACTCTAACTATCACGATCAAAAGATGGGTTGCCATATCTAGATGATTATTTTCTCTGTTTCTTTTTGGATGGTTGATAATGAATTGTTCATGTCTACATCAATTGCAATGCGACTCTAGCTGCCTTCTGTTCCTGTAACATTGTTAATGTTTCATGAATCATGATTAATGCTCTAAAACAGCAGCTTTTTCTCCAGAGTTGCATCAATTCGAGGCTTTCTCTCAGCACGTCTTACTGGCTCGAACCAGAATCTAGTTAGGAGGGAATTCCACAATGAGGCAACGGACCCTACATATTGACAGTTACCTTAACGAGTCCTGCCTGCGGCCAAAGGCCCGTAGTGCCAAATCTGATATCTCCTCTCCCTCCAAAGACATAAAACCAAAACTAAAATTGAAGAGAAGGGTTAATTGAACCAAATCTCACACCAAAAATATGTTGAAAAGAGTTGTTTATCTTTCCTAAACACCTAATCAATGGGCAAGCTGATCCATAACTAAAACCTGCCGCCTATCTCCTTCCCCTCCATAGTTTCATCTCTAAAATAGAATGGTGACTTAAAGACTATCTGAAACTAATACTTCACCATAAGAGACTCCAAAATCTGCAAAATTATATAAAAAAATATATAACGAACAAAAAGGAAGTGGATACTTGGCAACCGAATAAGTTTACCTATCTGTTCATTGTCATTGATTCATGACCAAAACAAACAAACTAGTAATTACATAATTTTACCCACCGCGCTACAGTGCCAACAAATCCCAAAAGTCCCTATTAATTCAAGTCAGTATAACTGGTTTGTGTAAAATCTGTCAGTGTTTTTCCATGCTCTTTGATGATAAACATATCAAAGCAGAAGTGCCAAGACTCCCCAAAACAGCAACAAAACATGAAAGCAAGATGATAGCAGCCCTGAATGATGAGAACCCCCAATGAAGAGGACAGGATTGGGAATGTCTGGTTTGCTGCATTTCTTCAATTCCCTCACGCTGCTGCCAATGCTTTTACCACGGCTCAATTTCTCATCAACACAGAGTTCCGAATTACCTTTTAACCTCAACTTTTCACCAACCTTAGCAGTAAATTTAGCAGAGAAAGGAACTCTCCCACTCAGATTGTTGTTTTCTAAATTGATTTCACTAACGAACTCCAAGAACCCAAACTCCTCAGGCACTTTCCCTTCGAGCTTGTTATTATCAAGTCCTAAATAACACAAGTTTCTCAAATGCACCCCCATGGAAGCTGGAATACCCCCTACCAGTCCCATACCAGAAAATCCTATCCCCAAAATACCCCCTAGTTTCTCCCATATTTCTGGTATATCCCCTCCAAGTAAATTTCCACTCAAATACACCTCCTTTAATCTGGGCATTTCAGCAAGGAACAAAGGAACCCCATAGTTACCAAAACGGTTAAAACTCAAATCCAAGAACTCCAAACATTGTAAGTTACTCAAGCTCCCTGGGATTTTACCAGAAAAAGCATTTGAACTCAAGTCTAGCTTCAAAAGCTGAGTGAGATTGCCAACTGAACAAGGGACATTTCCATCAAAGCCATTGCCACTTAAGTCAAGAACTTTCAGCTTCTTCAACTTAGCTAAACTAACAGAAACCTGTCCACTAAGCTTGTTTCTTGACAGTGCAATCTCTTCAACGTTTATTAAATCACCCATCCCATCTGGGATACTCCCATAAATTCCATTTCCAATCAAAACCACCCTCCTCAAACTTGTGAAATTACGGATAATGCCGCTGAGAGGACCAACAAAAGCTGGGTTATTTATAAAGACAAGCTCTTCAAGAGAGGACCCGAAGCTTATCGGAATCTCAGGGACAAAAACTTGGGTTCCAGTGAAGCATTGGTAGAAGAACAGCTTGCGGAGATGTTTGAAGGATGTGAAGAGGAGAGGGTTGAAAGTGGAGTTTTGAGAGCAAGCAGGGTTCGGTGTATAATCCGAAACATAGCCGAAACTCAGTTCTGTGATGTGAACCGTAATGTTGCTTGTGGTGGGGTCCGTAAAATAATCACAGACGACGCCATGTGGAGGGTAGGAGCAGAGGTCGTCAGGGAAGAGAGTCCGCCAGGGGATGGCTGAGTTGATGGAGGAGAGAACTTGATAAACTGAGTCCTGCTCAACCGAGTTGAGGACAGGTTGCTCCTGTTGCAATGACATAGTAACTGCAGCGGACATGAGAGTGAAGAAAAAGATGAGCTTGAAAATGGGAAAACAAGAAGTAGAAAGAACAGCCATTTTCTTCTTGGCTTAGTGGGTTATCTTGAGAGCGAAAAGAGAAGAGAAAACCACAGTACTGCTATTCTGTTGTGGGAAGTGTTAGGGTGGGAGGACCAAAGCAAAGAGTGGGTGATTTTGTTCTGCTGTGCTGGCGCTTGGTTGTGGTGTGCAGATATTGTGAATTTACCCCAATGGACATTCCTTGGACTGTAGCGTAGACCGAGACTGGCTCTGCCAAGACGACCTAGCTCTGACCCTCTGACCAACCCATCTACAAAATGTCTTCCTTATCTTCTGTAACGTGAACCCCAATCCCCATTCCTGCTCGAGTAAACAGCAAAAGAGAAAAAACAAAGCCTCGGCAGTTTATGCAAATTTGCTATGTGCTTGAACGAAATGCACAAGAGGAAAAATTTAGGGAGAAGAGATATTCGGGTAAATTCAGCAAGAGGGTCTTTATAAATCCTGGTTCTACATATAGCTTCACCAATTGTTGCAAAAACGCAAAGCTTGGGACTTCGGTACCATAACCAATCATCTTATTGCCAGAGGAGGCCCAGAGACATAATGGTTTAAACCCTCCATAAACAACCAACCATCTAACCACTCAATCACCCATGCAACCTAAAAGCGTTCGAGCTTTAAGCCTTTTTCACCCTGCAACTCCTATCAAAAAGCTCGGGCTTTGGTTTTTAAGTTTTAACTTGGGTAACCGTGAAAAAGAAAAAGGTTAGCCGAAGAGGAGCCGACAGAAAAACCTGCGGAACAAAGGTAGCCGCGGGAAGCCGACAGCGACGCGCCGCAGCCGCCGACTTACTGTCGCAATGTCCCATGAAAGGGACATTTAACTGACCAGTTAGGAGGCATGTGTGCTGAAACGTGTCGAGATTATACTGGTAGACATATGACACGTGTATGTCGTACGGACGATCGTTTCCGGAAATGACAGTGCATGCGAAGTCCATTGACAGCGCGGTTTCACACCCGATTCTGCACCCACCAACCAGTATCCGGTGGGGCCCGTTTTCTGGGTTTTAACTTTTGTAACTTTTTGCTCTTGCCTTGGAGCGGAGAAATTTTACTGTTTTTCTTTGCTTTTCTTTTCATATCTCGGGTAAGCAGAAGATGGCGATGGTAGGCACAGTTGTATTAATAATTTCATTTTATTTCTTATTTCTTCTTGGGTGATGGCTGGCTCCTGTGGGAGTGGGACAAACTTAGCGACGGATGGTAATCAATTTGGATTTTATTGATTGGCGGAAGAGACGACAGTTTCCTGCTAGAGTTGTAAAATTTTGTTAATAATAGCTGTCTTTATCTCCCTCCCAAAAAGGTCTCCACTGTAGTGCGGATCTTTGCCCTGCAAGCTTTGGTGGGCTGCCGCTGACTATATATATATTATTAAAATTTGTAATTACTTCTCTAAAATTAAAGGCCAAAGAAGAAAAGCCGACAAGTTTAATTTTGTTTATTAAAAAGAAATTCAAAAAAATCAGAAAGAAGAGGAAAGGGAATGTAAGCATTGTCAATATCTTTGCCTAGTATTTACATGTAGTCAAAAGATGTTCTATGTTTTAACAGCCCCATTTTATTGCAATTAATTAAATAATCAATTGCTCCATCAATTTTATATTTTCTGTGGCTTACCCTCAATGGTATTAGTTTGTTACCTTTTTTTTTTTTGCTCAATGTTATTTTTTTAAGTGTTATTTCTATGAAATTGTACTTGAAATTTTTATAGAATCAAATACATAAATGAGTATGAATTAAGTTTTGTCTAGATTAATTATTAATAGGTAATAGGCTTTGTATTTTACACCTTTTACTACTAAAGTTATATATCCCCTATAATTCTATGACAATCCGGGATCAAAATATAAAGATCAAAATTTGTACTTAACCCTTGTATTCTATTAACTACTAAATTTAATCTATTTACAATAATTCATATACATCAAATCATTGTATTTTCAAAATTTGTTAATGTCAATTAATTCGTTAACACTATTAAATTTTTTTTGTCGAAGTGAATAAAATGACATTTTATTATGTTGATGTGATATTAACTAGAATAACACTAAATGAAATTGACCGGTGTTGACATAAAATTTTTAATATTTTTAAAAATAAAAAAAAAATATGATTGCTATATTAGGCCCATGATTAAAGTAATAAAATTGGATCAACATGCTTGGAAGCTCAATATATTTACAAATTAAAATACAATATAAACTTAAGAACTGACTTCCATTTGATGGATCAATTGAGGAGCATAAACACTTGGTAACCCAATGATGCAATTGCAAGAATACCAGCCCACATCTCTTCATCAAATCTTCTAAGCTTTTTGAATGAATTATACAAACTTAATATAAAGTATCAAACAATAAAGTAAGTGTAATTATTTGTTTACATTGACTGTAGATATTTTAGTGTCACCATCTTAGTATAAACCAATCCTTTATTGATGTGGCCATACCTTCCTCTTCTTGAAGTCTCCACATTAAAAAGCTAATACACTTTGGTATATGTTTTTTCTTTCTCATTTTTTTTTCTTTCTGTGAAGTTAAGTATTCAACTCCCATCCGTTATTTTTTTTATTACATATAATACATTTTGAATCATCATTAATAAATTTATAATTCATAACTAGATCCTTGTTCGTGGACAAGGGTGGAAAATGAAGCTATTAAAAATATTAATTTATACTTCTATTTGATAATTATATGATATAGAGTTATTTTATTATATTTTAATTATTAAAAATAACTAAGTTCTTGTGTTTTTAAGTAATTTTATGTAGTTTTTATACTTTTCATTATTAAGTTTAATACATGTTGGAATATTTTAATTTTAGTAATTTTAACTCATTTTTATGTTAAAAGTCCTAATTTGAACCATCTTTAGTTTAGTCCTTATTTTGAAGGTGTGGAAGTGCATAAAACTTCATAGAGGTGCACCGAGCAAGGATAATTAAGTATAGAATTTTCTAAACATATTGTGATATTTTGATCATAACTCTCTCTAAAAAAACTCTAAATGAAGTGATTCTTAGACCATTAGAAAGATAAGTGGAAGGGCTACAACTTTGTTATTCATCACTTTGCCCAATTTTAATTGGATCCTGGTCAAAATCCTTGTTGAAGTCTAAACATTATAGTAGTCTACACGGACTGAACATGATGCAATATTTTGAACATATATTTCATTCCAAAAGTCCAATTGGAGTGATTATAGAGCTACATGAAAGTTAAGAGACAAAGCTACAACTATTATGTTTACAATCTACCTAATTTGAATGGGATCATAAAGAAAAATTATCAAGAAGCTAGTGTCGTGGCACTGGAAAAGCAACACTGTTTAGATTTCCAAAAATAAAACACTTGAATCATCATTTATAACTTTATAATTCATAACTAGATCCTTGTTAGTGAACAAGGGTGGAAAATGAAGCTATTAAAAATATTAATTTATACTTATATTATTCTGTCACATTTTGATTACTAAAAATAACTAAGTTCTTGTGTTTTTAAGTAATTTTAGGTAATTTTTATACTTTTCATTATTAAGTTTAATACATGTTGAAATATTTTAATTTTAGTAATTTTAACTCATTTTTATGTTAAAAATCCTAATTTAAACCATCACTGATTTAATCCTTGTTTTAAAGGAGTGGAAGTGCATAAAACTTCATGGAGGTGCACCGAGTAAGGATAATTAAGTAAAGAATTTTCTAAACATATTGTGGTATTTTGACCATAACTCACTCTAAAAATTTCCAAATGAGGTGATCTTTAGACTGCTAGAAAGATAAGTGGAAGGGCTACAACTTTGTTGTTTATCACTTTGTCCAATTCTATCCAGATCATAGTCAAAATCCTTGTTGAATTCTAAGCACTATAGTAGTCTACACAAACTAAACATGATAGTATTTTGAGCATATATTTCACTCTAGAAGTCCAATTTGCGTGATTATTGAGCCACATGAAAGTTAAGAGATAATGCTATAGCTTTCATGTTTATTAATTTGCCCAATTCGAATGGGATCATAAAGAAAAATTGTCAAGAATCTAGTGTCGTGGCACTAGAAAAGCAACACTGTTTAGTTTTCCAAAAATAAAACTTTTCACGGAAATTTTAGAAATTAGGTTATTTGAAGCCTATTTAAGGGATATTTTTCAGATGTTTAAGGGAGGAGGCAACATGAAATTTGTTTGGAGAAAAAAGAGCCAAGAATAAAGCAAGAAAGTAAAAGACTTTGAGGGAGAATTAAGATTACAAAGCTTCGACTATTAATTTTCTTTCTCTACTTTGTGTTTGTTTTTATTTTTTTTGAGTTAGATTAATGGCTACTTTTTTTTGAATGAAGTTGTTAGTAGATAGTATTAGTTAAACTATTATTCTAGGATTGTAGTAGATTTCAATATGCAGTTTGAATATTTGTTTCTCTTTTATTTACTATGAATTTATATAATTTTGCTTATTCAAATTTACTCTTAATGTTTTTTATTGTTTGGCCCATAATTAACTAACTTATAAATCTAAATGAGACACAACTAAAAGATTTTATATTCAACTAAGATTTGAAGAATGTATGTTCACACCACTATAAGGTGATTTGATTCGCAATTTGTATAGACATACGTCAATTGTCATATATAACCAAATTAGAATACTAATTTTGTAAACCTTATATAATTGATTACTATAAGCATATAGTGCCCAAAGTTAGTTATTTGTGCAAGCATCTCGATGGAGATTTGTAAATAAACATTGGATTTTAAGTTAGGAAAACTATCTATGAATGTAAATAATAAAAGAAGTTGGTATTAAATGAAGTATTGAATGAACTCATAGTTTTAGGTTTTAATATATTACCTTTCTCAAGTAATTTTATTTTATATGAATTAATTTAATGTTTGTTTTAATTTAATTTTAATTAATTTTCTAAAACATCAAGTTACTTGAATAAAATTAATTTTTCATAATTTTAATACTTAATGAAGAATTAAGAGCAAATTTCTGTGGGATGCAATTCTCGACTTACGGTCTATATTATGTGTTGGATACATATACTTGCAATATCTATATATTATAAAACAAAAAATTTAGGTAAAATTTTTTATTGATAAAAACAAATATATTTATTAGTATATTTCTAAATTTTCATTTAATATTTTTTACTATAAATATTAATAAAATTTATCCCATTTATAAATAACACTTGTACTTACATTGAATGAATTTTATTAAGATATGTTTTTTCTTAATTCTGATACTAATAAATAATTTATAAATTAATATTACAAAATTTCAATTATTAACATTTAAAAATCTATAGTTTAGAATCATTTGTATTTATATATTTCATAATTATTGCTTAAAAAATAAATTAATAAATAATTTTCACATTATAACAAATATACTAAATAAGAAAGTAATAAAAGGAATCTTAATTAGTCATAGGCAAAAATAAGAGTTATAGAGTATGAAGAGTTTTTCCTTTCGTGTTAGGAAAGATGAGTAATTCCCTTATTTGTAATCAGTGGTAGGAAATTAAGACTAGGAATGGGATTTAAGTTAACTTCCTCTAATAGAGTTGATGAAATTTGACTTAAACTGGTCCAAATCTAAACATATCTCAACAATAATCGTTGGAACAATATGATTTAAGGTTAATATCAGGATTTTGTTTAAAATTGTATTACTCAATTAATCGTATTAAACTATTATTATCTTATATGCTTATTTTTAAAAATACTCATGTACTCAATGTCCTAAACAAGGTAGAACACTTCATTAGTTTAATAATAATAATAAAGCATAATACTTGAAAAAGTTCTTAAATTATTTGAAAAAAGTTAAATAAGCACTTATTATCTTATTAAATTCAATCAACGTCTTATATTTTTATTTTAAATTAAATAGATTAAATTGACTAATTACCATTAGTTGGTTAATCAAATAAAAACTTATTTTTTCTTTACCGAGTAGGGTTCAAATCCTTCATTTCTCAATTATAAATAAAAATAGGAACTTATTTTGTTCAAAATATAAAAATAAAAAAATTTTGATTGAAGATAATAAACGTATATGATTTATTTGAATTTTTTAAATAGTTAGTAAATTTTTTTAAGGAATAAAAAATATTTTTTTAAATATTATGTAAAAAAAAGAAATAAAATTATCGAAAAAATAAAAGATAAAAATTGAAACTAGAAAATCTCATGTTAAAAGGTCCAACCCACAATTGAAGCCGAAGTCCAATCCGTAGAAATAGGCCGAGGCCCGCCACAAGTTTAGCAATTTACCATCAGTTTCTACATTCAACACTAACGTTGACTTTTTTTAAAAAAATACTACAACGTTAACATTTATGTAAGGAAACGGCGTAATTACTTTGAAATCCCGAATAAAGGGCTTTCCCTATCCTTCAGTTTAGGCGGGCGCGGCGTCACTTCGGTTTTGCCGCCTTTCTCTCTCTCTTGTTTTTTTTCGTTTATTGCCTCCCTGAATCTGATCAAGACAAGCGTAATGGCGAATCAGCCGGTGCTTTGAATTCTCGAAGACCTAGCTCAGAAACCAAACTTTGATTGAGCTTTGATTGCACAAAATCTTTAGTTTCCTTTTCGAATAAACCTAACCGAACCCAAAAAAAAAAAAAGAGAATTAGTATAAATCAAGAAAAACCAGCAAAATGAAGATGGCCATGGCTGGTCTGTATAAACGAGTCCTTCCTTCTCCTCCTGCCGTCGATTTCGCTTCCTCCGATGGAAAGGTAATCGCTGCTTCTCGGTTTTTTGACCTTTCGGATACTTGGGATATTTGGTCAACCGCCAAAGAAATAATTGCTAATATTTGGGGTGAAATTGCACAATGTGTCTTTGTTAATTTCCACTTAAGTAATATAGTTGAGAGTATTCAGTTAAAGAATAAACGGAATTGTAACATGCAATTATTTTTTAATTGGGAACTTTTTTGTGATGATTATGATTAACATTACAGTTACTTGTAATGTATTGGAAATGCAGCAACTTTTCATTGAAGCAATTCAAAATGGGACGATGGAAGGATTTTATAGGTTGATATCTTACTTTCAGACACAGTCAGAGCCGGCTTACTGTGGACTTGCCAGCCTTTCCATGGTCTTGAATGCCCTAGCTATTGACCCTGGAAGAAAATGGAAAGGTAACTTCTACAATTGAGTGGACATCTTTTTAAGCTGGTCTGTGCACTAAAAAGAGTTGTTTATAAATTATTTCAATCATCAATTTACCGATCTCTCTATCTGTAAGAGAATTTTCAGTATACTGTTTATTGTCAGTAAGAGAATATGTTTACAAGCAAGAGAGGGAATGGCACCTTTTGTGGAAGTATAAGAATTTCAAAATGTCTAAATCTAATGCTGCTATGTTTGTAACTTTCAAAATGATTTAATATTTTGTCATCCATATGTTTGATGCTGATTTGGCTGTGTTTGGTATTAAATATGGCCTAATTCACATTTATATTTGCTAATATTTTGATTAGTCTGAACCCAATCTCCCATGATGGGAGTAATGTTTTGGTGATTTGTGTCAAACACTCATACTGCGTTTTTATTTTAATTTGATACAGGATTAGCTGAATTCATTTTCTGTCATCTAAAAGTAGATACCGATCAGTTATAAGTTTCTTTTGCAGGACCTTGGAGATGGTTTGATGAATCTATGCTTGACTGTTGTGAGCCTTTGGAAAAGGTTAAAGAGAAAGGGATATCATTTGGGAAGCTTGTATGTTTGGCTTATTGTGCTGGAGCAAAAGTTGAAGCTTTCCACTCGAATCAAAAAACCTTGGATGATTTCCGTAACTTTGTTGTGAGATGTTCCACTTCTGATGATTGTCATATGATTTCATCATATCATAGGGCAACTTTTAAACAGGTGAGATTCAATGTTCATATTCAGGATATTTTCCAGCTCTTTTCTTTAGTACAATATTATTTAACGGATCAGTTCATGTACTTTCAGCATGGGATGTAATAATGAAAAGCTTCTTTTTGATCCATCATATATTTTTCCATGTTGTGACAATGGTTGACATGATGGCAATGAGAGCTCGAACATGTAAAGCTGCTATGAAAGCAAAACAGGAATTTTATCTTCATTGTGAGATCAGCTGCCATTGACATTTACTTTGCATTTGTACTTAGTAAATAATTGTGATGATGATTCTACTTTTTTTAAATCTTGTTGCATACATAGATCCCTCTTTAATTGTTTAATAGAGATGCAATTTGGAATTGTCATCCTCAAATGTCTGTACATCATTTATGCATTTTAAGTCATCCATCTTTGAAGTAATGATACCATTGCTTTTGATCAGAATCCATTACACATGCTTTTGTGGACTATTCTATTCATTGACTAGTGCCAAATTGCCAATAGTAAAATTCAAGTGGTTTTGAATCCTTTTCTACATCTTCTAAGTGGTGGATCCTATTGGTGTAATATGTTTTGCAGACAGGCACTGGTCATTTTTCTCCTATTGGTGGTTATCATGCTGGAAGGGACATGGCCCTGATTTTAGATGTTGCTCGTTTCAAGTATCCTCCTCATTGGGTTCCTCTGACACTTCTTTGGGAAGCCATGGACAACGTTGATGAAGCAACAGGGCAACTTAGAGGGTATGCATTTATACCTGCTTTCCTCATTAGTTGCTCAATGTTATCTAAGCAAAATGGTCTTAACAGGCGGCTATTTTGGAAGGTTTTTTCTTTCCTCCTTTTCTTGGTGTGGGGGTTAGAGGAAGACTGAAATATTATAAGAAATATAATATCATTAAGTCACATTCAAACATGTGGAAGCTCGACCAGTGGATTGAGTAGTTTACAAGATCTAGTATATTTGTGATTCTGTGAAGCATGGGTGATTACATATTACAATTAGATACAGTTGTGGCTACATAGTTGAGCTTTTTCAGCTTGAGTACATACTTGCCTATATATTGTAGAAAATTGAGAATGAGAGATTCTGCTACTGTAGTACTGGCCAAACTCTTTGGTTTGTTAAACATTTTGATTCTTTCTTTCATTTTTCCTTCATCATTATTGGGATACAAAGAAGTGTTAATTGCTGATTCTCATGTATAGTTGTTATATTTTTTCCAGGTTCATGCTTATTTCCAGACCTCATAGAGATCCTGGATTGCTTTACACTCTGGTATTTTGTTATCTTGACATTATAAATTGCACTTGCAGAGATGCTGTTATTCTACAATTCTTCATGCTTTCCGATCTTTGTTTTCAAATCTCCTTTTGGTTGTTTCTGGTGTGTATATGTGGGCTGGCAGGTGGGTTGTTGGAATATTAGAGTTAATATCATCAGCAGTAAAAAGTTTAAAACCTTAAAATTTCTTAATTAACCTTTAATTGAAAAGTTAAAAACATAAAGCTTCTTTTGTTTGCCACTGGTTGAAATGTTAAAAGCCTTTTAATTTCAAGGTTACTTTGCACCACTTGTCTTCCCTCACACCTGTCGCTAGCAGATTGGTTCCTCTGTCTTTTCTGCCTAGAGATTGCTTCTTCCAATTTTTTTTTTCTTTATATTTGTGATAGGATCACTTGTTTCACTGTTCCAGATTGTAGATTGTATGGGGGTAGGTAAATTCTGGTAACTCTGGTAATAACAATTGTTTACATGTTTATTTGGTAATGTTGCATCTCTTCTGGGTGCATATGCTGGGTACTGTGTCGTAGTGCTAGAATGACTGTCTTGGATTTCTTTACGGTTTCCTTGTTTTGTGTTTTGAAGTTTGTTTAGTCCTATATTGGTGCATATCAGTCATGTCCGTGGGTTTGCTCTGTATGGTTTAATATATTAGGGCTGAAATTTTGAACTGTTTCTGTCACCTTTCTAAGTATGTCTGTTTTTTAAACAGAGCTGTAAGCATGAAAGTTGGGTCAGAGTTGCAAAGTATTTAATGGATGATATTTCTAATCTTATGAAGTCAGAGGATTTGAAAGACGTACATAAAGTTCTCTCAGCTGTTTTCTCATCACTCCCATCAAATTTTGGAGAGTTCATCAAGTGGATTGCAGAAGTTAGGAGAAGAGAGGATGGTGGTCAAAATCTTAGCCAAGAGGAGAAAGGAAGGCTTGCTCTAAAGGTGCTGCAGAACTTCACTAATTGTTCTTGTTTTCTTTTTCCTTTTAGTTTGCAAAATACTATTTGTGCAGCTTGTCTTAGTACCCTCTAAAGTTTAACATTACAATTTGCTTTTGCCCTTTCAGGAAGAGGTGTTGAAACAAGTACAGGAAACTGGCCTTTTTAAGCATGTTGCATCATTTTTATCATCAGTGAATTCCTGTTGCAGAAACATACTGGCTTTAAGTCATGAAAATAATCTGCCTGACATTGCTGCAGGAGTTTGTTGTCAAGGGGCGGAACTTTTGGCTGGGAAGTTTGGTTCCTCAGAGAGTTATTGCTGTCGGGAAACTTGTGTTACTACCTTGAAGGCTAATGGTGACAAGCCTATTACCTTGGTGTCTGGGACAGTGGTAAATGGTAGCTCTGAGCAGGGGGTTGATGTGCTGGTTCCTTCAGGCCCTAAAAAACTGAATTGTTGTGGCTCTAGTGCAACTTGTTGCATTGGGATGTACCCAGCTGGCAATGATGTTCTAACAGCTCTGCTGCTGGCCTTGCCTCCAGAGACATGGTCTGGTATCAAAGATGAGAAGCTTTTGCATGAAATAAATTCCCTTGTCTCGACTAAGAATCTTCCCACTTTGCTTCAGGAAGAGGTAAAAACATTATAGTCGTCTTTCTGGGTTTTTTTTTTTGGGTAACCTTTTGTAGATTAATTCATAAGATAAAATACTCAATGGGGCATGGTAAAGAAATAAGTTTTGGTTGCCGTTGTCATTCTTTTGACTTTTGAGCGAGAACATGACCTGCTTGAGGAATGATATAACTGAGTGTCTGAGTTGCCTTCTGTAGGCTTTTTCCACACCTCAGTTTGACTGAGAAGTACCTCCTGTGTGCTAGAGAAAAAACAATGTCCAGCATGTATGAATCTGTCTTTCAAAGGTATCTAACTACTAGCAAATATTGGTATGGCAGGTATTGCACCTACGACGGCAGCTCCATCTTCTCAAGAAGTGCCAAGAGAATAAGGTAGATGAGGATCTAGGTGCACCTTTATGCTAGCCTATTACACCATCATCCCTTCCCGCTTCCTTGTCCTTTTTATTCTCATTTTTCTCCATAGCTTATATTGCTAACAAAGAGTAAATAATCCCCTTGTTCCAAGAATGAGAAAAGCTAGAAAAACCATAGAAATTAGTCGGCCTTCTTTTACAGGGGAAAGCAAGCAAGCGCGAGTGTGCAGCCCTTCAGCTGTATCTTTACTAAGAGGCAATGGGAGTTTCTAGGGATCGATACCTGGTGGCAAAGTGGAAAGAAATGTCATTCACGGGTAGTAATCTCTCCTGGTGAGGAGTGGTGGATCATCTCCTGGAAACGAGATTTCAGTTTGAAACAGCATCAGTTGTTGTGCTAACTTGTTCGTAGAAAACTTTTAATCACAGTAAGTGCACTGGGAAGTGGATCATTTGATGTTTTAGGAGTGCTATGGATGCTGCAAACATGTGCATTGTTATTTGATTAAAAGCAATTTTTCTTCCAATCTGCAAGTCTTGGTTCTGTGAAGTCCCATATCTCATTACTTTTAGTCATGCCGGATTCTGTGTGGCACGCATTTATCAAAATGCATTTGTGTACGTAGATAATTTATTTTTATTGGGGTAAAATATTTTTACTTTTTAAGTTTTAATTGAAATTACGTGAAGATTCATTAATTATCGAAATATTTTTTTTTTCAAAAAAATATTTTTTATTAGACACGTGGATTTAGCGGTTAGTTAATTATTAATATTTTTGTTAACTTATTGACGTGAGTAAAAAAATAATATTATTTTTAATTAATTTATAAATTGTTATATATTTTTATTAATTAAAAAAAAAAAACTCTTTATTTGGGGAACATTTGGGCTCCCTCAAAAAGCCCTGATCGAGCTGCCTAAGGGAGTACTGGAGCTCCCTTGGAAAGTGCTCCCCTCCCTCCTTAAAGAGGGTTGGGGCTCCCCTCCCGCCTTTTATTTGAGTAGCGGTGTTTTTTATTTTTTAAAAAATATAATAATTTTTAGAATTAATAAAAAAAGAAAAAATATTTTAATTTTTTTATAATCTTTATTAAGAGTGTTTATATTCTTAAGGTGAAATGTTTATGTTAAAAATTAATAAATTTTTAAGTAATTTCAATTAAAATTTAAAAAACAAAGTATTTTATCTTTTTTATTTTTATGACACAATAGAATAATTCTTTGTAAATATTAATTATTTACTAAATAATCTTATACAATCAATAATTAATTATCAAAATCGTTTAAAATGTTCTAAAATTACAACACAAAAAATATTTTTTGTGTCATTTCTTTTATTCCAACACTTTTGATTCACTTATATATATATATATATACATATACATATATATATGTGTGTTATTGATTTAATTGTAACATTTTTTTAATAAATTAATTTGAGTTATGAATTTACTCAATATCTATATAGTATGTCAGTAGGTACAAGTTCAAGTCTTTCAAACCTTACATGTTTTATCTTGATTTAAATTTGACAAAATCAACTCCCAACTTGCTTTTTTCATATGCATATATATATATATATATGTGTGTGTGCATACATATATATATATACACATATATATACATATATAAAGTAGTTTAAGCAATGATAACTGTTTTAAGTTTAAAGAACAAATTTATAATAAACAGTTATTTGACCCTTTGTTTGGATCCTAACATTCTTCTGCATTTCGCCATCATTGTTCAATCCGAACTTCATTGAAAAAGACTCCAAACTATCTATTACATACTTAAAGGAAGCTTTCTCAGTTAATCACGAGTCAACTAAATCACTACTCATGTTTTTAGTTATCAAGCCATGAGTTAGCCAAGCTTTGCAAGAGAGTTAGTCAAACCATATTTGTCCATAAGTCAAATTGAAATCTTTTTTACCCAAAGGTCAGTCAACGCATGTTTTCAAATTAGGAGTTTTAAACTTCTGTCAGTCATGTTCAAACTTTTGTTAAAGGGTTTGAAATCTCTGATTTTCCTTAAAAGGAGCTCATGCCAAGTTCTATTAAATGGAAGCTTGCAATTGTCAATTAAAAAAGAAACATTATCATTACCATGGTAACTACGTTAGAAAATTCATCCAATGAAAATAATTTTTTAAAAATAATATTATAAAATTAATAGATTTATCATACTATTTATTAATACTTAAAAAAATTTACAGAATATAAAAGTTTTTTAATAAATAATAAAAATAACAATTAATTTAACAAAGTTAACAATGACTTACCAAAATTATTGGACGATCACAAAATTATTTTCACAAAGTGGATTAATTGTAAATATTTATAAAAGCATAAGATAAAAATGGAATTAAAATTGAAGATAATTTAAAAAATTTCATCATTAAAACTAAAAAAATTTTAATGAGTGTAATTAATATTAGTTTTATTTTAACTTTCAAAAAATATTTATTTTATTTTAATAATTTTATTATATAAATTATGTAGCTTATTAATAATTACTTTTAATATATTATATTTTCTCAATATGAATTTCATTTTGCTATTAGAATCATTTAATTAATAAAATATGATTATGTCAACATTAACATTTATTAAGATATAAAAAATCAAAGGTTTTCAAAAAAATTATTTAAATAAAAAATTTTACTTAGTAAGACATGAGAACATTTTTAAAAATATTAATTTTTTTAGAATAATTATTTTTAATTTATTATTACTACTATTATAATATTTTTAAATTTAAAATTATTTACTATTATTTTTATTTTTAATATTATTAAATATGAAATTATTTTGATAAAAAATTTAGTACCCACGCGAAGCGAGACACCTCTCTAGACTTTCTCATTTTGCCAATTCTCATGTGATGGGTTGGGATGAGGTTTTTAGACGTTAGAAAAGAGAAAAAAATTTGAGAAAAAAATTAGATTTGATAAAAAGAGAAAAATAGAGAAAAAAGAATGAGCGATTCTTTTAATTTAATTTTTAATTTTAAAAAATTGAGATTTAATTTTTTATTAATTATATTTATAATTTTATTTTTTTATTACAATGCATAAAAACAATGTAAAATTCTTAACGATGTATTATATAGACTTGTTAATAATAATATTACTTATACATTATAATACTGTAAAAAATCAAATAAATTCAAATTTAATATGTTACCACAATATCTTTTAACTTTTAAATATTTATCTTTATACATTATGATATAATTTATAAATAATATTTTAATTGTTTTTTATTTTTAATAATTGTTTTTATTATTATAAAATAATTTCATATCTTATTTATATAAAAAAAATTGAACCCAAACGCGTAGCAGGGGCTTACACAGTAGTAGAATTAATGGCAATGGAATTGACTCAAGTTTAAGTTTTGCGTTCATTCAACGCCGACAAGACACGTGGTTGGCTTCGGTTGGTTCTTAACATGTACCATGACAGTGTTGTACCGGTAGCCTGTTACAAAGTCTGAAGTCTAACAGTTAAGGGCAAAAACATTTCTCAAGAAGTTGAAAAAAGAAGCCGGCGATGGCGTTGGCGGGTCTTTACAGAAGAACTCTTCCCTCTCCTCCTGCAATCGAGTTCGCTTCTGCAGAGGGCAAGGCAAGGAGAAAAATGGCCCTAATTTCTGTCTTTCTCTTTCTCTAATCTTTTAAATATTCATTTTAGTTCAAAAAATTTTCTGTTGGAATTATTTACAGCAACTGTTCACGGAAGGTATTGCTGGAGGGACGATGGAAGGCTTTTTCAAACTTATATCATACTACCAAACGCAATCGGAGCCTGCGTTTTGCGGACTCGCCACTCTCGCCATGGTCTTAAACGCCCTCGCTATCGATCCTGGAAGAACCTGGAAAGGTAAAATGCCTTTTTTGGGTTTCTATTGTAATTAAATTGCGAAGCGAAATTAATCTTTCTTCAATTTAAACAGGGCCTTGGAGATGGTTCGATGATTCAATGTTAGATTGCTGCGAGCCTCTGGAGAAAATCAAAGAACAAGGCATCACTTTTGGTAAAGTTGCTTGCTTGGCTGTTTGCAACGGTGCTCATGTTGAAACTTTGAGGACCGACCAATCTAGCTTGGACGATTTTCGGCAACGCGTAATTTCGTGTACTTCCTCCGAGGATTGCCATTTGATCGTCTCATACCACAGAGGAGTTTTCGAGCAGGTAACATCTTGACTCACATTTCATTTTATATATTTATTTGACTTTTTGTCTTCAAATTATTTATTCATTTATTTATTTTGTGCTTACAAGCTTAAAAATGATAGTTGGTTGCAGACAGGAAGTGGTCATTTTTCGCCAATTGGGGGTTACCATGCTGGAAAGGATATGGTTCTGATTTTGGACGTTGCTAGATTTAAATACCCTCCTCATTGGGTTCCTCTTTCCCTTCTTTGGCAGGCTATGAACACTGTCGACAAGGCAACCGGACATCGTAGAGGGTAATCTTGTCTTTCCTCTTCATCAAGTTAGGCTCTATATGTTTGTTACTTATGTTACATGTGTTTTTGCTCTCATGAAAGCATACCCAACTTGAATTTATATTTTGTTTGGAGCTTCTAAGTACATTTAACAATCAAGCCTTGATTGGTCCATTGGATTGTTGTAAGCTGTAGCTTGTGAGTTCTCAAACTCGCCGGCTTATTATTACTATCTTGCTGTTGCAATTTGGTTTTCATATTTTTTTTAACTGGAACTTGTGCTTGCTTTCTTCAGGTTCTTGGTTATTTCAAAGCTTCATAAAGCGGCATCCGTGCTTTATACTGTGGTACTTTAATTTATCATTGCCAGCTAGTCTCGTCTAATTCCATCTTTTTGTTACTCGATAGAAATCTTTTCATAGCCCTTTTTCTCCTCAAAGGTCAGTGAACTATACAGTGATAGTTGGAATGAGTATATATAGTAACAATTGGTGAAATTTGATTTAATATTATTAAGTGACATTTTTTAATATACTCTTTAATATGAATTTATGCAAATTTGAACCTGGCCACATGTAGTGGAATTTAAAATCTTGAACTAAATATGGGAATGTTGGCATTAAGATTTTAGGTCTTATAGTACGATAAGTATCCTCTCTGAAAATAAACAAAAATAGTCTTTGCTGTTGATAATTGTGTTCCTGCTTCCAGTCTCTAGATACATTTCAAATTTTGATTTGTTTATTCTTTAGTTGCTTCCTTTATATTTGTCATAACTTAGTTGTTCAAAGAGGTGATAATTGGTATTGCATGCTATTGTGGATCAAATGCAGAGCTGTAGACACAAGGATTGGAACTTTGTTGCAAAGTACTTGACAGAAGATGTTCCCCTTCTCTTCACTTCTGGGTATCTAAAAGATGTTGATGATGTGTTATGCATTGTATTCAAATCAGCACCTCCTAATTTGCGGGAATTCATCAAGTGGGTGGCAGAGGTTCGGAGACAGGATGATGGCAGTAGTATGTTAGGTGAAGAGGAGAAACGAAGGCTTGCACTCAAGGTTTCCTATGGCATACTTGTTCATCTTTCTCTGCTCTACCACTTATCTTTGCTGTTAATTCCTCCTTTTAAAAAAGAATGAATTTTCAATTTAGAGCTTCATTTGTTCAAATCTTAGTCTGATATTTTCCTATGACTTGAAGAGAAAAATAATAGAAAGAGATACTAATTTGAAATTTCAGGAAGAAGTATTGAAACAAATACGAGAGACTGAACTATTCAGACATGTGACGAGATATTTGGCATTTGAGAGCTCGTTGTGCTACAACGTGGCATCTTTGGGTTATGAAGATAGGTTAGCTGACATTGCTGCAAATGTATGTTGTCAAGGAGCAGAACTTCTAATGGGGAAAATCAGGTCATCAAATGGATTATGCTGTAAAGCAACAAACGTAAAACTTATAAAAACTGACAGTAAGGAGCCTGTCACAATGGTTTCAGGCACGGTAATTAGTAATGGCACCGAACAAAGGGTTGATATGCTTATCCCATCATCTCAAACAGAGCCCAGTTGTTTGTGTGATTTTGATGAAAATAATTGTTGTGGTATGCATCCATCAATGGGGGATGGTCTGACAGTACTTCTTTTTGCCCTGCCTCAAGATACCTGGTTGGGCCTTAAAGAGGAGAAGCTACAGGCACAGATGAAAGGTCTTACATCGGTTGACAGTCTCCCGACTTTGCTTCGGGAGGAGGTGACATCTGGTTCCTCTCTTTTTTTGTTTCCCTCAAATTCTTTGTATTTCCTTTTATGTCTTGATTTTATCCATTTTTCTTTTAATCATTTTCCAATGTCTTGAGGTTTCATCATCATTTTAAATTTCTTCAACTTTAGAACATAATTGCCTAGAAAAATTGGGGATCATGGTGCCATGGTCTGTTTTCACATTCTAGTGGATTTGTTTTTATTTTTATTCTCATCAGTTTTTCTTCTAGTAGGCTTACAAGTGAACAACTATTTTGGCCGCTAAAGGCTGTTCAAAGAACCTAACAAATAGTCTTTAGGCTTTTGGTTAAGAATTCAATTTTCATCTTCATACCTGTTTCACACTGGTTAATCAATTATGACGGACCTTGTTGATCTCTGACTCTCCTATTCGTGACCATGACAGGTTCTGCATTTGCAAATGCAGCTTCATTTCCTCAAGGCTGATCTCAATGTCTCATCCTCATCTGCTTAATTTTTGGTTAGACAAGCAGCGTGGTGAAGAAGAACACTGGACCGACTTCTTTATTGGTTACGTCGGGAACTCCTGTAGTTGTGCAGTTATTCTGCAATTTAGAATTTAACATGCAATTTATAAAACTATATCTTGTTGGAATTTGAATATTGAATTTTTACCAAAATTTTTTAATAATAGTTTAATTTTCTTCTCAAACTCCGCATTATTACTCTTCATGGAAAACATGGATCCTGATTAAAATGCAAGGCAGGCCTTTCGGTTAATTTGGTTGTAAATTTGCAATAGTTCACCTGCCAACTAAAAGCTATTGTAAGTAATATTACAAGGATAGAAGCTAAGAGAAAGAAGGTGTAGTAAACTCTTGTCCCTTAGTCTTGGTCACATATCCAAGCATGTTGGCTGTGTAGGAGCAGCTAATTTCCACCTTAGATCCCAAACTAAGTCTGATCTTTATCATCTTCGACATGCCTGATGTTCAACAAGCCCTTCTCTCCATTATGTCTTTGCAAGATGGTGCTACGGTCATGGGATGATGAATTGTAATCAAATCTGGAACCAGACAATGGTTTAGAGGAGGTGTTGGGAATGAGGGATGGCTTCCATTTTTATTAAGTAAATGTAATTCAATGCCCCATGTCCCTAAGGGAGAACATGGCCCATAACTATGATCAAAATGAAAAATCATTTGGCATGAGAATAAGGTCATCGATATAAAGTAGCATAAATGCAATAACATTATCTTTGTGAAAGCCATATATATGAAATCAAGAGAGAGCTAATTAGACCTTGATCTATACCAAGCTCTTAATTAGTGCTTGTTTAAGACCATAAATAACCTTGTTTAATCTAATCTGCAAACATAATGAGGATGAGTTTTAAGTTACCTCATTTTGAACGAACTTGTACAATTGACTTTGCATGCTCGGAAGATTCTCCACCCTGTTTGCATTGTCTACGTCATAATCGTGTACTTGTAGCTGATCTTAAAAAGATTCTCCACCCTGTTTGCATTGTCTACGTCATAATCCTGTACTTGTAGCTGATCTTAAATCAGATTATTATATATTATTCAGTATAAAATAGGAAATTAAAAATAAAAGAGATAATTTTGTCCGATTCTATAGTATATTGAATTATAAAGTATTGATGGGATGTTAGACATCCATGTATTTTCAATTTTATTCATGATACATGCATGATTGATTCGAAATCAGTCATAGAGAGAAACCTACTTAATCATTCCAACGCATAAATAAAGATATTTTTTTTAACATAATAACTAAAAGAATCTCCAAATTATTTAAAAAAATTTTAAATAAATCATTATTTAAACATAATGATCTTTTAAAAAACATACATAATTATTTTTAAAATTACCAGCACCTGCACATAGCCAAATGCCATCCTAAATAATTACATATTAAATTGTTAAAATACCGAATTGAAAAATACCAGAATGGTTTCAAAACGTGTAACAATGTCACTGTCCTTAAAAGTTTTATCCACCCTCATTGATAGCGTGCAAAAAAGTTATAAATGATAAACTTCAAAGATACAATGAAGTTCAGTGATTGATTGCGTTCTGCATTGACAGTCGATCCACTGGATAATGAATAATACAATTTTCTAATCTTCTGTATAATCTTCTATAATAAAATTAAAAAATATATTTTTTTCTATACCTGCACATGCCATGTGTCCAACTGTTGAGTGCCATTATAAATAATTAAATATTAAATTTAATTAATTTTAAGCCCACTCAAACCTAAAAAGCTTATCCATGATCCATTGCCCATGAAACTTCAATTGTAATGGACTTAGCACCTGTTTGGTCTGACTTTTTTTTAATTTAAAAGCTATTATAAAACTCTTATGAAAAATAATAATTTTTAAAATTAAGTTAAATCTGTTTGGTAAATTTACTTTTATAAATAAGTTGTTTGACAAAATAATTTACCTAAGTTCTAATTTTGATTAAAATTACCGTAAAGAGTATTTAATAAATAATTTTCTATTAATCACAAATTCTTTTGTTCATAATTGAAAAAAAGTTAATTTTAGTTTTTTATTTAGAAAAAATATTTAAAATATTTTTATATAACATAAATTTATAATTAATAATAAATCATATAAAAATGAAAACCGATAATGTTGAAATTATTTTTAATAGATGAGGATATTTTTGAAACAAAAATAAAAATTTTCCTAAAAAAATGTGTATTTTTTAAAAAAGAAGAGTTCTAAAGCTTTTTTTTAATTTTATTTTTTTAAAAAAGATGGCACTGTTAATATCTTAAGGTTAGAACCTGCATCGACGGATTTGTTCTTCGGTCCACTTGATGTGTAAGAGTCAAATTTTACCAAGTTAGAAACCATCAAACATGAATTACAAATATTTTTCGTCATCTACTTATTTGATTTTTTAAAAATATTTGATATATTTAGTCTTTAGATATGACGAACTAAATTACTCAATACACACATTTACTCTCTCTTACCATTTTACATCTAATACTTTAAGTTTTTTTTTAATTAAAAAAATAAAGATTCGAATCTTATTTTTTAGATCTGAGATCATATATTAATCAAAAAAATCAAGTACTCATATACATCTTATATTTGAAGATTAATAAATTTTACAAATACTTCCATTTTTATCCTTGCTTTTTCTCTTGCAGTGTATATTCTATTTTTGTTAAATAAACTGTCAATTATATGATCAGGATAATGGTACAAGACCCAAAGAAAGCTGAGTATGAAAGCGATCAAGTATAAATAAACAAAGTGAATGAAAGGCAGGCACGAGGAATCCAATAATTAATTTATATTATCTCATTTGGGTTGCATCTGGCACATCAACTTCACACATAAATAATTCCTTCTTCCAAGCCATTTGGCTGAAAATAGCTTCTTCCTTTGTATCTCTGGACTGCCCCTCTTGTTGATTCATTGGTGGACTCAAAAACTTAGCAATTGAATTGATGTCTTGGTATGCAACCAGGGCCATAGAATTCTGAGATATTTATTCATTAATGTCCTCAATCCTAGTGATTGGAGGCAAAATGATTTTGTATTTTTTGTACTCTTTCCTTTGACATTTCAACCACCATGGTCACTTATAATCCAGATATCATATTATGATTTTAATGATGAGTAATAATATGAGTTTATATATTGACATATTATTTAGAACATATCACATCATTAATAAATAATAATAAATGTTAAAAAATTTAAATAGTGAATTAAATAAAAGAATAAAATAGTTTCAAAATCTCTCTAAAATCTCTTTCTGAACTTAAATTATACATTATGTGAGCATCAAATATTTTTTTAAAAAAAAAAAACTAGAAAAAATGCAATGAGAGAAAAATTAAAAAGCAGAGCATATTGTAATAGTAAAATATGAGTTCCATGGTGTGGAACCTTTCGGCCAATTAAATGACCTCTTTATTGTAGACAACAGGACAATGAAGTGTTAAAAGTTGATAAGTTGTTCTCTCTCTCTCTCTCGCAGGAGTGAAGACTGAAGACGAGGAGGGACTCAGGAGAAGTGAAATGGAAAGGAAAGAGACCGGTCATCCTTTGCTGCAAGGAGGTAGGAGAAGAAGTGGCTATTCTCATGGTTTTTCTTCAGCTCAGATCCAATCACTTGCTGCCATCTGTGAAACTTTTGTCCCTCCCCTGCCACTTGATGATGAATTTGGTGACAAGCAGGATTCGGCTGCCCTTGCTGCTTTCTACAAAGCATCAGGGGCTGAGCCCCCGGTTCCTGATGAGGTCAATTCTAATCTCTCTCTCTCTCTCTCTCGTTCTTCCAAAGTTGGTTGTGCCTTCCTTTTTTGAGCCGACACTTGAAAAACATATTACCGAATGGCAAACAGGTAGCAGAGTTTCTGGTGAAGAGGGGTCAACCCAAAGCTGTCTCCTTCGTTAAACTTGTTCTGACACTAGTCTCCTTCAGATTGGGGACATTGCTGCTCTGTGGCTGGGATTGCTGTGACTGGAAATGGCCATTCATTCACAAGTTTTCAGAAATTCCGGTGGAGAGGAGAGAAAAAATCCTCTTCAAGTGGTCGAGGAAAGTGCATCCTTTACCTCTAAGGGCTGTTTTTGCATTGATCAAAACCTACTGCTTGTTCATCTTCTTCTCCATGGTACCACCAAACTTACCTTTCGTTCATGTTATCTTATCGTTGTCTGCTTTCGACAGCAAATGTGGACCAATTAAAAAGTGGTTCTTTTAAAGTTCATTAAATTAAATATGTGAGGCATAGTTTTATCCCAATAGAAGATGGATCATTACGGGTATTTTCCCCAAAAAATCCAACAGGATGGAACTAGTAAATCAAATATTTTAGGAGGTAAGGAATATTGGGTTTCCTGCGGGGTTTTTGGGCTGGGTGAAACACGTATCCAAACACTTTGAGATTGGATGTAATCCATTGCTTAACAGAGAGTATTGATGTATTTACTGTTGTCTATGTCTTCCTAATAACATTTCCAAGTTTCCAAATTCCTCTGTTGCAGACCGATGAGAATTCCGGAAACCCAGCATGGAAAGCAATAGGATACCAAGTAGACAACAGGCCGAAAAAGGCATATCCTCAAGGGCGACCACTTCAAAAGGGTATCATAGAAACGATGCATGAAGATGACTCAACCTTTGTCCAATCTCTCACTGAAAAAGGCCTTCAAGTCATGGAGGATCCAGAGCACAACGTTTACAAGGTCAAATGTGACGTAGTGATAGTTGGTTCCGGTTGTGGAGGAGGGGTTGCTGCAGCAGTTCTTGCAAGCTCTGGCCAGAAGGTGGTTGTTATTGAGAAAGGCAACTATTTTGCACCACAAGACTATACTTCTCTAGAAGGTCCTTCTATGTCTGAGCTTTACGAGTCGGGGGGGTTTTTGACAACCATGAACGGGAAAGTTATGATCATGGCTGGGTCAACAGTTGGAGGAGGCACGGCTATTAATTGGTCTGCCTCAATTAAAACACCAAAGAATGTTCTCAGAGAGTGGTGTGTGGATCACAAGATTCCCTTGTTTGGGAGCTCAGAGTATGAAATTGCAATGGATGCTGTGCGCAAGAGGATCGGCGTTACAGAAAATTGTACGGAAGAAGGATTCCAAAATCAAGTTCTTAGAAAAGGGTGTGAGAAGCTTGGTTTGAAAGTCGAGGCAGTTCCAAGGAATGCCGCAGAGAATCATTACTGTGGTTCTTGTAATTTAGGGTGTAGAACAGGAGACAAGAAAGGAACTGCTTCTACTTGGCTGGTTGATGCCGTGGGCTGCGGTGCTGTGATCCTGACAGCCTGCAAAGCTGACAAGTTCATATTGGTGAATAATAACGATGCAAGCAGAAGAAAGAAATGCCTGGGTGTGATTGCAACATCTTGGAACAAAAAATTGACCAAAAAGCTGCATATTGAGGCAAAAGCTACAGTTTCAGCTTGTGGGTCTCTCTTGACTCCTCCTCTGATGATCTCTAGTGGGTTAAAGAATCCAAATATTGGGAGGAATCTTCATTTGCATCCAGTGCTAGTGGCTTGGGGATACTTTCCAGAAGACGCATCAGGAATAAAAGGCAAAATGTACGAGGGCGGAATCATCACTTCATTCCATAAGGTTGTTTCAGAAGAAACCAACGTCCGTGCAATTATCCAAACTCCTGCACTTGGACCAGCCTCAGTGGCAGCATTATCTCCATGGGTTTCAGGAAGTGAGCTCAAGGAAAGAATGGTCAGGTATCCCAGGTTGGCTCACCTTTTCACGTTGATCAGAGACCAGGGTTCAGGGGAAGTAATGGAAGAAGGTAAGATCAGGTATCGGTTCAGTGAAATGGATAAAGAGAATCTTAAGATTGGGTTGAGGCAAGTTTTGAGGATTATGATAGCAGCTGGGGCGGTGGAAGTGGGAACCCATCGTAGCGATGGGCAGAGAATCAAATGCAAAGGTCTTACGGAGGAAAGCTTGCAGGAGTTTTTGGATGATGTTCCAGTAGTAGGAGGTCTTAGTTCCAAGGAGGAGTACTGGACCATGTACTTTTCTGCTCATCAGATGGGAAGTTGTAGAATGGGTGCCACCCAGGAAGAAGGTGCCGTAGATGAGAATGGTCAAAGTTGGGAAGCGGAAGGTTTATTCGTGTGCGACGCAAGTGTCCTGCCAACCGCAATTGGCGTCAATCCCATGCTCACCATTCAATCCACCTCCTACTGCATTTCAAACAAGATTGCAGATTTGTTAAACGAGGAATAAACCTTTGCCCAAAGCAGTCTGACCAATTTCCTCGCATATAATTCAGCTGTCATACAAGGATTCTCAATAAGCTATGATCTTTAATACAAGGAATCACAATAAATTATTCATCTTATAGCTTGTCGTAATGTGCTTGCTTCCGTTTGACTCACCCATGCCACGGTCATCTAATTGTTCACATTGATCACACATGCATGCCCACACAAATCTGCACTCAAATGGATTATTTGTTGAAACAAAATTCCACTAGGTGACCTAAAAACGAAGAGAGAGGTGGTTGGTGACTGGAGACTGGGTGCAAGTGACATGCAAGTAATCAAGAAGAAAGAAATAGGCTGATCTCAGACTTTGAATTGTATGCTAAATGCAACCATATCAACCACGAAAACCCAATTTTGTGGGACAGTATAATAAAGCATATTCCTCAACCCTCTGCTTTATCATTAGCAAGATTCAATGGGGCTTGATTTATAAAACTCATCAGTTTTTGGAAGGATTTTGAGAAACAAGAACACGAGACTAATATCTTAAATTCCTCAACTGCTTGCCGCTTTAACTGCTTTCTCTGCAGCATCATCCAAATCTTCTGCCGTTATTAGTGCCATTCCACTTTCCTGCAGAACCATTATTAATCATCAAATAAATCAAAATGGCATCAATAATTCTCAAGATATAAGAAAATGTATGTCCTTTGTGTTCAAAAGATAATTGAATTTCATATCTACCTTCAAAATCCTCTTCCCTTGGTCAACATTGGTACCTTCAAGACGAACCACCACAGGAACTTTTAGGGCAACCTATACCACAAGGCCCAATATAAGTCAATGCCTTAAACTTTCAACAAATTTTAAAGAAAAAAAAGAAAAGAGAAAAAGGAGAAAATAAACTATTATCGTTTTTGTTTGTCAAATTTTGAGTTACAAATAAACTGTTGGGCTTTCCCTGCACTAGTTTTAAAATGATGATTCATCCAAATATTAAGATTTAATTGAAGTGTGATATTCTTGGTCACCAAGTAAATAAAGAACTTACTCCGCACAGAAGTTGAAACAATTTTACACAACTCTCACCTGTTTGGCCGCATTGACAATTCCACTCGCAATCACATCACACTTCATTATTCCTCCAAATATGTTAACCAAAATTGCTTTCACCTTATCATCAGAAGTCAATATCTTAAATGCCTCAACCACCTGCTCCACATTATCTAAGAATTAAAACACAAATATATTTGAAGGTGATTATTGCATCAAGTTAGCATCAGATGCCAAATTTTTTATAGAGCTAACAAGTCTACAGCTAGCCAAGTGATGCTAGAAATGCATGACCAGAAGCAGAAACAGCATACAAGCATGCGTAGAAGCGTGTGTGAACATGTGCCCATGCACACTTAGCCTAGCCTCATTACAAAAAATTACCAAAAAAGGCAATGATATGAAAGTATAAAATGAAAAGGACAGCATTACCTGGCCTTCAGAAGCATTCCCACCTACATCCAGAAAATTGGCAGGAGTTCCCCCATGCAATTTAATTATATCCATTGTAGCCATTGCTAACCCTGCACCATTCACCATGCAACCAATTTCTCCATCTAAGCCAATGTAATTTAAATCAGCTTTGGCAGCAGCAACCTGTAATAAAAGAAAACGCAGAATTGGGCCATGAGTACAAATATTGGATTATCGTATAATTTACTTAAGTTGTATTTTGATTTACAAGACAACCAAGAATAATCATTTGATAAACATAAGAAAATTAACAAGGAGACAAATCCATACTTCTCGAGGATCCTCTTGTGAAGGATCACGGAGAGCAAATATCTGCTTTTGACGAAAAGCAGCATTATCATCGAAGTTCAACTTTGCATCAGCAGCTACTAATTGGTTGCTAGAAGTCTCAGCAAGAGGATTGATCTGCCAAAAGAATTACCATTCACAAAAAGATAAGCATCAGAATAAACAGAAATGCATTTGCAGTTAATAAATGGAAGTACTAGTAACCTATGAAATATTCAAAGGGAAAAATATAGCCAAACAAAGAAATTCATACTTACTTCCAACAATGTACAATCACATTCACGGAAAAGCTTATATAGTTTCTTCACTTGTTCAATAGAATCAGTTCTATCAGCAACCTTGGGAGCCAAACCATCCACAACCTTGGCAGCATCTTCATCAGTAATTCCTTTGAAAACATCAATAGGGACCTATCAAAAATAAATGATAAATCAGTTGCATAACCATATCATGACCACTATGGAAAGAAGAAACTGCCTTATTGGTTATAATAAAACATCAGAAAAAAGACAATCAAAACCTTAATAATCATGTCAGGATATTTCTCTGCAAGGTCTTCAATGCTGGTTCCTCCCTTTCTACAGGCAATTATAAGCTGAGAAACAGAACAACATTGTGCAATTAAGGACCTTTGACTTCTTGAGAAATCAACAAAAGTTACCACCAGTAATTGGGGTAGCAAAAATACTTGCTTCCAGCAGCTTTAAAGTTAACCTACTGAGTTTGTAAACATACCGGACCCGCAGTGTTACGATCCAGAGTGATAGCAAAGTACATCTCGTTCACAAGTGATAACTTTTCACACAGGTAAACCTGGAAAAGGAAAATGAAGTTGAAACAGATTCCAACAATTACTAGACCGAAGCCCCAAAGTTTAATTTCAAACTGACTGTGTAAATTCATTGAAGTTTAAGTTCCACGTCAAGAAAATGATGCATGCCTAACCTTGCTGACAACTTTGCCTTGGGGGCCCGTTTGCTTGGTAACAAGTATCTGCCCAAGCATCTTCCCTGCATTCAATAAAAATAAAGCACCTCTTATAAAAAAAATAAAGAAATATTGACTGAGAAAAGGTAAAAAGTAAAAGCAAAGCCATTAAATACTAAATCGCGTACAATCATAAGAATGAATAGCAAGAGAACATATTTGATGGCACATGAAGAAACACATGTATAACTTTGAATATCATCTTTTGCTAAGATAAATGTCAAACTCCAGGACAACACTCTTACATGTATGTATTTTGTAATGTGTATAGAGTCAAGTTTTCTGTAAAGATAATCAAAAAACTTTAAATACCAGCTATTTCTTCAACCTGGTCAGCCTTAACGATGTGAACTCCACCCTTAAACCCGTTTTGGAATGTTCCCAAGCCTCTTCCACCAGCCAAAATTTGACTTTTAACCACCAGCTGCACCATAATCAAAGTTATCAATGCCCATCTTATTCAATCATTTCATACTAAAATATGTCATAAAATAGTTTTCCAGAATTCAATTTCTCATAGTCAGGCACACACGCCAATAACTCTGCTGTGCTTAACATAGCAAATAATCAGGCTATTAAACATATAAACATAAAATCCATCGCAGAAATTGAAGAATTTACCTCATTTTGATTGGGGAAGGCATCCTTGACCGCTTGTTTAACTTCATCAACAGAAGAAACAGCAACCCCTTTGGGGACGTTAATTCCGTATTTGCTCATCAACTCAGCCCCCTGATTTTCAAACAACCAAAATTTCGTCTATCACCAGTACGCTCACACAAAATTTACATTCCCAAACGGATACACAGATCCACAAAAATCAGTAAAATGCAAGTAAACTCAAAGTTTAATTCCCAAACAAAAAAGAAAGGAATAACCGTAAACTTCGTACAATTATTTTCATGCGAACCAACAGAAACTAAAATCAGTTAAACTATAGATCACTAGTAAAGTATGCTTTTGAGATCATAGTTTCCATTTCAATTTTCTCAGAAAAAATAAAAAAAAATATATAATAAGGCCATGTAAGTAATTATATATATATATATATATATAAGGAATAATGGTATAAGTAAATAAACCTGATATTCGTGGATGTTGAGACGGCGGAGCTGCTGTTGCTGCCATTTGCCGGCGACGGAGAGAGAGCGGGAGACAAGCTTGTTCACTAATCCTCTCATTTTTTTTCCTTTTCCTCTGGAGAGAAGATTAATGATCAATGAAGGACTCAACGAGATGTGCAGCAAACCCTAGAAAAATCAATGAGAAAGAGAGAGAAAGATTTGGGGGTGGAAGCGAGCGGGGTAAGAGTAAGAGAAGCAAGAGGAGCCACCCTAGAATTTTCTCTTTTTTTTACTTTATTTGTTTTATTTATGTCCTGACCCCTGTACTTTTAGATATTTCTCAAAAGGAAAGGGAAAGTTTTTGTCAAATTTTTGGTGCGTCTGAATAAGAATAATATTACCTTGCAAGAAATATTTAGATTGCCCAAAAGGTTAATTTATTTAATACTATGGAAAAAATGATCAAAGTATGAACAATTTGGAAGGCAGGATGTTGGGAAGAAAATTGTGGGTGAACATCGTTGAAATGGAAAGTAAACCTCAGGCAATTTTGTTGAGAAGCTGATGTTTAGTTTCTGATACCCACTTCAACAATCTGTATCTTCGTCTTATTTTGAGGAGCTGTTATTTCTCTTTCACATTTAATA